GCAAATTGCACTTAAAGATGGCACAGAAAGCATTTCAACTTATGCACTCGGGCACGTTTCGGGCTTCAAAAGCTCATTACTTATTGCGTGTGGCCGTTGTTTGCTCATATACTGCAATTATGTCAACACAGTCATACACACACACACGCACACAGCACACACGCACACACACATACACATCTATGGGAAAATACATATGCACATTGATATGCGCCCCACAATTTGGCAACATTGACAACATCAACTGACTGGCGATTGTAAAGTCATCCAAACTGCGTATATATATATATATATATATATATATTTATCATATGGCGGCATCGTTATTGAATATCCTGCCAGCCGTTTGACTCTTATTTAATTGCAAACCCATCCAATCACACCCATACACACTCACACACACACATATATGCTGTTGCTTATTCCACCACTGATAATTCAATAACATATTGTATATTTTTAAATGTTTGCGGACGTTGGGAAATATTTGTATATGTGTGTTTGTTGTACCCTTGCCTTTTTTTTTGTGCCATTTTTTATTGGCCGCAGCTGCTCATTTTGAAGCATTCTTTATGACATAAATCATAAATCACATTTATTAATTTTTAATCAAAAAGTTCTAAGAAAAATTAAAAAAATAAAAATAATTAAATTAAAATAATCATTTTAATTACACTTTATTTATATATAAATATAATAACTGGTTTAAAACTTAAATTGTTTTAGATTTACTTCGTAAATAAAATTAAAATAGTTAAATATCATCCCGCTCTTTAAGTTTATTCTTGTGTGTAGAATTACTATTAAATTTAAGTTGAGATTCTAAAATCTTTGTCATCTAGTGTAATTATTCAGCTTAGAACCGAATCGAGATAAAGATAGTATTTTTTTTTCGCTGAGCTTTCATCTTTCAGTCACGTGATTTTTATATATACAGATATACATAAATACAAACCTGTTTTTGTTAAAATTCATCGTGATATTCAGTAATTATAAATATAAAATATATGTATTTATTATTGTTGTTTTACATATGTATGGCAAATTTAATGTGTTCACTTTATGTTTATTCGCAAAACAACTTTTTGAAGTGGCCTGGGAAATTTGGCACGTGTTTTGGTTTTTCTGTTTATCTATGGGAATCTAAACAAATATGTATACGAGTATTTGTTTGTGTGTGTCTGTGTGTGTGTGTCTGTGCGTGTGTGAGGTCTTTCTTTTAAAGCCATAACAATGAAGTCGCTAACAATAACATATAAGCACTCGGACAGCTGCCGTCAGTTGGGTAAACAAATCAACAGCAACAAAAACAACAACAATTACAATCGCTGCAAACACCAAAACATTTACAAACACTGTGGCAAACCACAAAATTTGTTGTTACTTTTGACATTCCTGCTGTGCCGCAGATTTCGGCAATTGCGAAAGTGCCATTTAATAAACACACAATTTGCTCCTATTTGGAGCTGCAGCTGCAGATGGTTGGCGGCAACGCTGTGGCAAATAGGACAACAGTGTCAAACACTCGGACAGCGGACAATGTCGTTGATGCCGCAGACACTCGGAACGTGCGAATTTAGCCACAGATTCTGTTTTCTTGTTGCTAATGTTGTTTTTTTGGTATTTTATACTGCTGCTCGGTTTTTATTTTTAAATTTGAGGCAAATGAGTGCGATGAAAGGTGATTCAATGTGTAAATGCTGGGACTATGATGGAATTTAGTGGAAGGATTTCACAAATTATGAAATATATTTAACAACATGCATAGATAAGAGAGACACAAATATATTTGCAGTCAAATATTGATAACAGATTATTCGAAAATCTAAAATTTCAAGAGAACATTTCCATAGCCTTTATTATAATTTTGTCGTCAAGTGTGTATATTATTGATTCGCCTCAGTCTGTGGCTTTCTGCGCAGAATAGTGACTCAGTTCTAAAACTATCTTTATGAAACAGTAAATATATATTTGTTCAGCCTTAGTCGGTACAAAGATCACAGAATATTGATTTTCTTCAGATTGCGGGAGAACAAGCGAATATGTCTGGACAGATTCGACAGCTCATCCAGTTCAATGTATTTTCTACGTATTTATTTGTAACAGCATTCTTTTCCCAGACTTATTTTACTTAGACATATATTCAATAGTAGATTTTCAGTAGTTCACAAGCGCATCTCTCCTTGCCCATTACTTATAAACTCTGCAAAAAGATGCGCAATAAAAGAATCATTCATATTATGTATGAAAATCATATGATGAGTTTTTTTTGTTTGTTGCCATATTCGTGCAGACGTGTAGATATATATTTGTTGTCTACTACAGATGGAGTTAAGCCAATCGATAAATCGAGTTATTGCAAAGCAAAACTATAATGGAACACGTGCATCGCTGGCCGAAACAAACCGATTGGGGTCCGGACAGCAACAGCAATAGCCACACGTGACGAGCTGTACAGCTCGGGATTGAGGTGGTCATTTTCAGCAAATGGATCAGCGGTTATTACTGGGCAGCACCCACTGAATGGCAACATGGCTATATGCAATTGTTCCCATTATTGCGTCACTCGAACACGTGAAGTGCGAGCTAAGCAGTTTAAAATTAAACTTAATTATTAAACGATTCGAAACCGCAACGAAACTAATTTGACTTACATGAATGAATGAAATTTCTCACTGATAAGTCGCACAAATACAAACGGAAGCACAAACACACACACACACAAGTAGCACAGCACAGCCACACACAACCACACCCGGGGGCAGCTGGCAAACCGCACATTGAATATCAATTTGTGTGGTCGCGCGAGTCGGCGGCGAGTTCAGGAAACCGCAAGTTCAGCACGCTGAGTATTCGATCCGGGGACCGTACAAACTGCCGAATAAGCACACATATGTATGTACACGTACATATAAATATATATACATTTATATATATACACGTATGTAAAAGTTGTCAGCCAGACAATGCGAGACAATCGCAGAAGTGCGCATAAGACAAGCGATACCTTCTACAAGTGGGTATATGCATTATATAATCCACTTTGCGATGCATTAAAATGATTGAAAATTATTGTTTATTAATATAACAATGATTTTTAATATGCAAAGAATTATTATTAATATTATATACATTTTATAAATAATGTTTAAAATACATTTTTCTTCCTTGCATGACATTAATATTCATACCAAAAATATTACGAAAATATGGATTTGTCATGTTTTATTATCTTTATACAGTAAAACTACACATAATTAATTGTTTAACAACATTACTGTATATAAATAATAAGTGAAATATATTTAGACTGATTTCGAAACTGTTTAATTATTTGCGTTCTTCGCTAAAGTGAATTCAGTGTTAAAAATTCTGTTGGACATTGGATTATTTAATTGAATTTTTTCGAATTTGAATTCAAGCATGTTTTATCTGCTTAAATTACAAGCCCGAATTTCATCATTCCTCAAATACGCTTAAATAACAAAACCGAATTTCATAACTCCAAACCACTTAAAAATTGAGGGCTCGTTAATTAAGTTACTGTAGCTAAAAAATGAATAATATTCTTCTGTCGATATTTACAAACATAACATATTCTATACTATAACATTAATTTCTCTATTTTGTATACAAGGGGCATGTGTTGCATGAGTTAGTGACACATTCGGGCATTTGACATGTAGATCACGTGCAAGGATTCTGGTATTGGTGCCTTGTTAATGGCCTATTAATGTGGCCACCAATTGCGGTTGCCAGGTAGGTTGGGATCTATGCTGCGTATGAGTAATATGCCAGAGCGACCTTCAACAAGTTGTCAAGTGAAAATCGACGACGGCTGCTGCTGCCGTTCAGCCATTACTTGGCTTGCACAGGAAGCGCGTTAATTAGCAAATAAATCGCAAAAAAAATGCGTGCCGGCAAACAAGACAATCACAGTGCGCAGTTGTATGTGAAGGGGTGCAGGGGTGTTGATATATACAGATGTATGTACATATATATATATATGTCAGTGACTGCTGTATTTGTGCCTCTGTTTGAGCATCGCTTCTGCTGTTGCTGCTGCTGCTGTTGTCGTGCCACAAGCTGCTGATTTCAATGCATGACGATGCCAACGAGAAATCTCTTTATGCTGCCTCTGCATTTCAGATTTCCCATTTGTAGTTTTTCCAATGCGCTGCAAGTTAACTCCAGTTAGTGTCCTATACACATTGGCTGTTGAAATGTGTTGCATACGATTTTTTTGTATTGGCAATTAAGCTACATTTCAATTTATATTAAATAACTTTTTTAATTAAATTGCATTGCATTATTAAAATGTAATCGAGTAATTAATGAAAATCAATTTTAATAAATCTATTAGGCCATGACATATTGAAATTATACACATATAAAAAAGTGCACTAATCTCATTAGAATTACATTTTCTCGTGCAGAAAAGCATATCTAAATACTATAAACTATGATGAAACAGTTAAGGAAATAACACATATCTTTATTCTCAGTAATTAATGGTTAACAGCCGGATGAATTCCCCAACTCTAATATCTATGCTTCAACCTATTTATTTGATTGTATTTAATATTAAGATAAAACATATATTTAATAAGAAAAAAGTGTTTAAAACTATCAAAGAGCGGAACAGAGTTCCGATAATGGAATCTGTACGCCTATTTAATTACAACTTGAATTTTCTTTGCAGTACGTTTGCAAATTCATGTAGCCTAGTGTTCTGTGATGTTGGCTCCATTTGTAGGCGGAGTCGCGTATGCTTTTCGCATTCGACTTTTGGCCGTCTCGCACGTTGTGCACGTAATTGAAAATTAACTTGTCTCGCTAGCTGCTAGTTACCTTTTTTTCCTCATGCCCGGTGCTTGAGCTTTGCTGCTAGGCTGTCAATGATTTCTGAGGGCATATTGCGTGCCGCATATTAATGAGACAGAGAAGAAAGATTCAGAGAGAGAGTGGGAGAGAGAGTGGGAGAGAGTGAGAAAGAGCAGTTACTTAAACATACTTTTATTTACAATACTTGTTGGCTTAACTAGTTAAAGCTATACACCAGCTACGAAAGTATACAAAGAGATTTATACTAGAAATGCGATACTACCAAAATTTGCAGCGCTCGACGGGATTCATGGGCATACCGGGATCACACTGAAATACCTCAGCGAATTCGGGCATCTGGGCTAAGGCATAATTTAGGCGCTTGCTGCCCGTGTCATGGTATATGTCCGCCTCCTCGCCACAAAAGAATTGTGCAAATTGAATAAAATACAAGCGACCATTGTTGCGCTTCTCCGCCGGCTGTTGCATATAGGTTTGCAGGGCCAGCCGTGTGCCACTGATATCTGCGGCACGTTCATTTAACATGATGACTTCGCTGTCATTAAGACAATTCACCGCACTCACATAGTGGGTATTAAGCAGCAGCTGCTCGCTGTAGTCGCGCATCGCACCCTGTGCATCATAGTCCACAAAATAGGTGTCGAAGGCGTGCAACATTTCGTGCCCCAAAGTGTTGGCCAAATCGCCATAAAGTAACGCTGGCCAAAACTCAGCATTGTAGAACGGCAACTGGACATAGGCATAGGGCATTATGATGATGCTGCCCAGGCAATAAAAATATGGCGTTGCATCGATGTTATCCAGCAGCTCGGGTCCATGATGATTGAAACTGTACCACAGCTGTCGCATGCTGGCATCCATACTCCTTTCCAGCTCCGCCAGATGTGCATAGTAATGCAGCAGGCTCTCCAAGTGATTCTCATAAAAATCACTGCCAACACGCCAATGCTGGGCGCAGTCCACAAAAAACTGTTCGCTCGCATTGCGTGGCATGTTGCCGACGTTGAGTCGCAAACCGTAGACTTTATTCAACAGCGCTGGCAACAGCGTTGCATCCAAGCCAAACTCATTGCGTCGCAGCTGTTGGGCAAACTGAGACTTCAGCTCCTCAAAGACGCCAAATATGACCCGTTCATCTGCCTCACGCTGCTTCCCATAATAATTGTGCTCGTAGGCATAATTCATGGGCAGATAAAGCGTTTTACGCATATGCTGCACACATCCAATTGATGAACTGGCGCTGGCCGTGAAGTGATTGTGCCTCAGTGGATTGTGGGGTAACTTTTGCAGATGCTGCAGGAACCGAGCCCAGCTGTACAGCTGCAACAGACGTGCATCGGCCTGATTGAGATATGTTATCAACTGTTTCAGAACCGGAGGCTCATCGACCAACAGCTGATGCCCACTTGTATATGTGGCACCCAATTGCAGCTGCAGTACATGTGTCCAATTCAGATCGGGCAGCTCTCGCTGCAGCTGCCCCAGTGTGTAAAAATGTAGCGTCTCCTCATCGCTGCTGCCGTTTGTTGGCCTCGACAGCTGCTGCAGCTTCGCGTCAAGCTCTCCGAATTGTGAACGCAACTGCCCCAAATGCGGCAGCTGGGCGTGTGTGTGCCGCCGCAGGGCACCGTAGATGGCCGTGGTGAGGTTCAGGCTGTGATTGTAGTTGTGCGGCTGTACGACCACCATATGCCTTGTGGCATTGTGCTGGCTCACCTCGATCTTCACATAGTGCTCGTGATAGCCATAGCGACCGAGTAGCGCCATCAGCTCCGTCCAATGATTGCTGGCTGGATGTGGCAGCTGCTCCAAATAGCGACGCAATCGCGGCTTACCCAATGCCCGACAGCTCTGATAGTAGCGCAACAATTTCGCATGCATGGGCAGCCGATGCTCCGGGGCGTGTGGCTCCCTCAACAGCCGCTCGAAGAGGTCCACGTACCGTTGATCGACGCGTGTCCCGCTTAGCGACATTGCAGATACGCCGGCCGCATGCACCGATCGCCAATTGCCGCAGGCATACGCATGAAAATCCTCGCACGGCGACAGCTCTGGTCGCATGTAACGCTCCAGCCGTTGGATGTGCCGCAAATTGATGGCCGAGCTGCAATCAGTTGTGAGGCGGCAACTTTGATTCAGTTGATTGGTGGGCAGAGCCTTGGCGCTAGCCAGCAGCAAACAAATCGCCCAAAGGCGTCGCATTGTTGAGACTTGCCGCTTTGCCTTCCTTTGAACACTTTCAATTTATTTTCGTTTTCTTACAAATTTGTATTTCTTTTATTTATTTATTTTTTCTCAAATTTTATCCAGCAGTTTGGTGCGGTAATTGCTGTTGTTGTTTTTGGTGGTTTCTTTCGGGCGCACACATGTCAACTAGCGGGTTTTAAATAATGTATTTTTATTTATGTTTTCTTTTTTTTTTTGTGTTTTAATTGCCGCTTTGATTTGCAGAAGGTTTTTGTTGCGCGTTCGCCGCTTGCTAAAAATCAACTAAAACTCGTTTCACGCGATTTCAATTTTTATGTATTCGTATTCAATTCATTCTACACATACACATTTATGTATTAACATGTGTGTGTGTGTGTGTGGTGTGTGTGTGTGTGCGTGTGTGTGTGTGTGGTGTGTGTGTGTTTGTGCTCGCGCTACTGTTCACATGTGTTAAATTCTTGCAGCGCGCTTTTTACATTTATTTCTTTTTTGCCTGGCTTGCTTATCAACCTTTTAAATACGTCTTTTCTTTTAGTTCGTGTGCGGCGGGCTTATCTATGATACACTGAGCAAAATGCACGTAGAAAGGCCGACAGCATGTTAAATGGTTTATTAAATAATATCTTCATTACTTGTAATTAAACAAGTGAACAACTGCCTCAAATCTTATATCTTTCGCATAACTTAAAAACAGATATAATTTTATGATAATGATAAACTCATCATTGTAGTTGATTTGTTTTGGTTTTAAATCCCTTTTTTTTTTACTAGTTCTGATCTGGCTTTGAATTCAAAAACTGTCGCTTATTATAAATAAATTGATAAATAAAACGCATTTTTATTTCTAAATATACGCAACGATTTTCAATTAATTTATCAGTTCAAATTGATTACGATTAATTTCGATCAGTGTAACTGGACTCAGCTTATATTACAACAAGAAAGAACGGCCATATTAGGCACACCGGCGGTTACATACCCTTGCAGACCGTACTTAATCTGCCGACATCTAAATTTGACTCTTGATTAATAAAGCGACGGATTGTTATCTTAAAAGTCTGAATTGTAGGATGTTGTTCATTTTATTGTCCAAGTTTTAGGATGATGATGGCTTTGTCAAACAGTAATTTGTATACCATCTTTCGGCTGATTGTATCTATGGCAACTTTATGTTATAGTGATAAGATGGTCTGATGATCTGACCAACTCCGACATATTTACTGTCTGCTTTCAGAAGCAGACGGATTGGTTAGCATAAATAAAAGACAGATATGGCTATATCGATTCGGCTAGCGACAAAGATCAGGTAAGAGGGTCGAATCGACCCTCTGCAAGGGTATAAAAAGAAAATTGTTTCAATTCATGTTTTAGTTATTAATTATCATCAGCGTCGCCATCGTGTTCAACTGCCGACTGATAAGGCATTGAATTAACGAATGACGCAATTTGGCGCTGCAATTAATGAGTAACATTAAGCACGAGAGGTTCGCTCTGGAATCAGAGAGCGGCTACCGCTTCGATATGCTTGGCCATCGCTTATGCATCAATTCAACTCGATTCTTTTGGTCGTGGAGAGGAGGCTTGGCCTGTGCTGACCGTGCATTGGACTTTTGACTCCCGACCGACAGCTGCGAAAGGTCACTAGATGAGCGGGAGAGAGAGAGAGAGAGAGAGAGGGGGATGTGTTTAATCGCAACCGTTTCCATTGTGCCGCCGGCGTCGTCTGTGACGTAAGTGATCCCATATAGCACAATTTGCCATTGACTGATTGTTCCAGCACTTAAGTGTGCTTTGATTGCTAGTATTTATTCACTTATGGCTTCCATTCGTAGCTAAAATACAATAATACAATAATGAGCGATACCACTACGCTAAAACCAAATAAGTTGGAAACTTAAAGCACACTTTTCAGAATTATAATCCCATAAATTGTAACGAATGGTTACACCTGTCACAGTAGCTTTCTGATCAATTATCATCATGCAAATATTATTAGCATAACAATTATTAAGTATAATATTAATCTGAAACAATTTTAAGACTAGATATTACATGGTATAAAAGCTATCAAATTACAATTACCTCGCGAACATTTGAATAGTTGGTTTTGTGTATTTTGCGAACTTATTTAAAACGGAATCAATAAAGCGAAAGCTTCATTTGCTTTTAATTGATTGCATTTTAATTAAATAGCAATTTGTGGCTTTCGCACACAAGCAAACATACCCACAGATTCATTTGCAAAGTCAGCAAAATTGACAACACATGAATTAATAATTATTTTTTAAACATGCCAAACTTGAAACGCGCATAATTTTCCTTGTCAAAGGCAGATAATTCCTCAAAACTATGCAGAATATTTTTAACTACTTTAAAAATATTTGATAAGCTGAAAGAGGATGAGCGTTGGGTAGAAATTATATATATGTATATATATATATATATATATATATATATATATACTTATTTATATATATATACAAAACTACATCTGTATGCTAGGTACCAAATCACAAAGTGAAAGCTTTACGAAAGTTATTTATATTAAAATTTTCACTTTTTCGTTACATATTTCATTAAAGCACAGAGCAAAGTGATTTTGATGGCCATAAAGCAAAATTTCCTTTTAATATTTGTTATTTATTAACATGAGAAAAACGCGAAAATTAATCTGCTCGCAACGCCCATATCTCGCACAATTGTGTGTGTGCGTGGTGTGTGTGTGTGTGAGTGTGTGTGTGTCCGCACAGAAAGTGCAAGCATGTTGAAAGTTGTTGCCGTTAACGGTTCAATGGCAACAATAGCAACACTTGCCATCCCCCTAGATGCCATGTCCCTGCTCATGTCCTTGGTGAGTTGCCTGCATCAATGCATTGGCATTGCCGCCTTGTCGAGGCATGAATTTCATAATTCAATTACGCCTGGCAAGTCATGAAAATGATGGCGAAGCGCATCCAGACATCCTCGTCCGTATGCTCTTTCCGAATTGCAATCGTTGCCTGTCATATCCAGCAAGTCGGATAATAAACAAAATTATTGTTAAGAAATATCTGCATTTAATAGTTTTTTTTTTTTTGTATTGAAAGTAAAGAAAAATAACAGCTAAAGCTTCCATGCTGCGTAAATCTATATATATCTATGAATATATATCTATGTGTACATACAAGGTCGAACACAGAGCTTGCAGGAGGCAGGGGTGCCACTTGGCAATGATTTCAATTTTTGTTTGGTCCTGGTGGATCTCTCTTTATAAGGAAATTTGCATAGGTTTTACAATTTATTTCAATCTTTTTGTCTGAATGTAGATTATTAACAACATTTCCAACAACTGGTGAATGCTTTTTGTAATTATTATATTTTATACACCCTTAAGATAAATCTTCTTTCATTTCTTATTATTATTACCTTCAGAGGTCGTATTAGTATTATAATTATAGTTTTCAAGCCAAATTCCGACAAAGGTCCGCATGGAAAGAGGGTATGCAAGGTTTCGCTGAGCAATTCTTTGAGCAAGCGCATAAAAAGTAAAAATAACCCGTAATCGGGTTGAGCAAACTCTTTGCCTTGTTTAATGCTCACTTACGCATCCACTCAACATGCCGGAAGCCTTGTTACCCCTCTGCTTTTTGCCAACCAACCAGCTTGCTGCATGCGACCTCCTTGCACTTTTGCGATTTGCTCTAAGAGAAGTGCACTAAATACTTGCGGTTGGCTCTGCATCTTAAAGTCAATGGTTAGATGCGCTCATACATAAATCTCCCTTTCTATTTTCAAGTTAATATTTTATTTGTTGATTTTTTTTCAGTTGCTCTCAAGTTACTCAAGTAATTCAATTTCCGGCGTCTGTGAGCTATAGAAATAATATTAAAGTTATTGAAAGCGAACAGCAAACAAACAAACAGACAGACAAACAGATAGAGAAGCTGAACAGCAAAAAAAAAAAAATAAATAAAGACGAAAATTCGACGAAATGTGAAAAACCTTTTACCCATTTGGTTTTGTTTGGTAAATTTGTTGTCTAGACTAGATTCACTGGATGGAATATTCCATGCGTGGAAATATGCCACGTGGCTATTAGCAAATTGAAATGGTCGATTTTAGGGCTCAAACACTGTCGTCGATGATGTTGATAATAATGCAATAAAGTTCGCTACCTTACTCACGAATGTCATCATCAGCATTCAGCATCAATTCGAGCTTAGCACCTGGCTGGCGAATACCTCTCGCTTACAGCTTTGGCGTTGATTTGCATAAGGCGCCAAGTGGCGATGACAACAAAGTTTCAGCTCTGGCGACGAGTTGCCAGCTGCCTCAAATCCAATGAAATCAAAGCACATACCAAACGACAAGGTGAAATTTTCGTGTGTGATTTTTATTGTGGCACACACAACCCTCTGGGGTCTAGTTAGTACTCGAATTTTGTGGTAACTCTGCCATCTTTTTGTAAGCTCTTTGGTACTAACATCAAGCATTTTATTGCACACTTTGGTGTTAAGACATTTAATAGGGTTTTCTATGAGTATTTTCATTAAAACATTTTCACACCACACTCAACGAACTTTAAATTGTATGTTGATGCTTTCAAAAATGCTCCAACTTTATATACTTCTTATTCATTTTGGTCAAAATTCTTTATAAATAACTTAACCAGTTATGAGTAATCTTAACATGTGATAATATGTTTGAAATGCAGGCATCGTATTGTCTTCAATTCCTAGTTTTATTAAATGTATCAGCTGGATTTAATAATATTACAAGAAATTTACTATGGGTATAGTGTAATTTTTTTCAAGTTCATTTTTATTTGCATTTATTCTTGCAACATTTTATATATTACAAAAATAATTTTAATATGCATTCAAATTGGCATTAAATAAATTGTATTTATTTAATTTACTTTTGAATGTATTTCATTCATAATGTGTGTAAAACTGTTGTTAATTTTGGTATATACAGTAATGTTCTAGCTTGTTGATCCTAGTCTCCATTTTTGCTTGTCTTAATCCAGTGCTTGAAACCATCAGAAATTACCAACACCTTTCTTCGTCCTTAAGCTACTCTCAAATTGTATTAGCAACGTTTCAATGTTGCCCAAAGTCTAGTTCTCATATGTCAAGTCAACGAGCGCAATTCGATAACTTTATGAAAATTTCGTTACTTTTCACTTACCTGTTACCTTTTTTTGCTTGCGCAGGTCATTAAATTGGAGGCTTCCTGGAAGGTACGCTGGACTGCTAATTAAATGCTGCGAAAACCCAGAAATGCAGCTGTGTTTCGATTATGATTACCTGACCTTATGTTAGACAGATTAGCGGGTGTCGTAAAATTTGCATTGCATTTACCTGCGGCGTTTAAAAAGGCGCTGCACAACCGTTGCCGATCACAGTTACAAACTGCAACGTCTAACGTGAACAACGCCAACAACAAGATTTCAATATGGTGCTAAGCAATTCCACACCCAATAATCATAAGCAAAACGAACTTGTCGTCGACACGGCGGCAATGAACAGCGCCGATCTCAGCGAGCTTCTGCAATTGAATGCGGAAATTGAGGAGAGACGCTCCCGACACTCCCACTGCGATGGTAACAGCGATGCTCGGGGACTGCTCCGAGCAACGATGACGCGGGAGGAGCTCTTTGAGGTCTCCTCACTGGATGATGATCGTTTCCTGACAGCCTTGGAACATCAAAACTCATATGTAGGCCCGTCACACGTACAAATCACCGATCTGGATCTGTCCAGCATTGAGAATCTCATGAAGTACTTTGATGAAGAGGTCCCCACCACACCCAGCAAGCACACAACATCAATAGCATCTGCTACTGCATCTGCTGCTGCGGCTGCTGCTAACTGCACGGGCAAAGTGGCCAGCGTCATTGCCAAATTGGCCAGCCATCCAGTGTCAGTGACGTTGTCCAAGCCTAAAGTCGACAGTGGCAAGCTGAAGATCACCGAGTTGAAACAAAAGTATGAGCAACCAGATCAGCAGTGCCAGCTGGCAACTCCCCAAGCAGCTCGTGGCGCCCCTGCGCCCAAGTCGGCAAGCAGCAAGCTACCCATGAAGGTCAGGGAGATGGCACAGCTGTTCAACTCGAAGTTCAATCAGGTAATGGGGCGAGTCGAGCATCCGCAATATGCCATGCTGCACAATGATCTATCACTATCACCAGAGCCAGTTAAAGCACAACCCAGACAGAGGCAACCAGAGCAGCCCTCAGTTCAGGGTCCCTGTCTGGTGGCCGAGGACGTCTTTCGGGAGTTGAGTGTCAGGGATAAGGCGTTGCTGTTCAATAAGTTTGTCAGCGACATTGCCGCCAAGCATCCCAAATTCAATGAGCATGCTGCCGATCTTAAAGCGCAGGCCACAAAGCAAATGGCACGCGGTGAAGTTATTGCCGAGCAGCAGGCCAGTGTCAAGCATCTCGCCCAGGAACTGGAGGCCAAATGTGTGTTGCAATCAACACCGCCACGACTAACGAAAACAACAACAGGAACAACACCAGCAATGCCAGCAAAGTTATCAACACCATCTCTTCATGTAAGCACACTGACTGTGGTCCTGAAGCCGAGTCCAGAGCGGAATGTAATTGAGCTGCGAACCTCCAGCGATCGTGTAATGCCATCGCAGAAGCGCAATTTGTCAGCTATACGGCGAGTGCTGCCGACAGAGCCGTATGCACCACCCAAGAAGATACGGCGCACTCAACAGGAGCGCAATGCTGGCAGTGAGAGCCATCTTTTTTTTCAAAACGAACCGTTGGAGAGTCTCTTCTACAGCTGGCTAAGCACTGAGAATGGCGTGCTCTTTGACATAACCAGTGCTTCGAACAGCGAACAGACCATTGAGATTGCCAGCGGTGAGGATGAGGATGAGAAACCCGCCCAGAGCACAGTCAGCTCCATGGGCGATATGAGCCAAAAGTCTGCCGTTGAGCGACTGCTCGAGGAGGCCATTGCCAAACTGGAGCTAGAGAGCAAATCTAAGGAGTCCAGCTATGTAGAGGAAAAGGATGTGGATACGGCAGCAACGCTAATCCAAACGCCAACTGCTGCACCAGCCACACCTGTCACGCCCACGCCACGTAAAATTAAAAGACCAGCGCCTCCAGTTCCTGCTCCACGTCCAAGTCTGGTGCAGCCGCAGTCCGGCTGCACGACATTGAGCAGCTCTTCGAGTTGCAAACAATCTGATGCTGAGGAAAGTGAATCCGGCTTGTCTACATTACCTAAGGTGAGTGATTAACATCAGAATTTGCCATCGATTATTACTTTGGCACAATATTATATTAACTAAATGTTTATTCTTCCCGCAGATAACCAGTGATGAATCTCAGCCAGAAATGCCTGCAACACCAAATGAAGCAACCGAATTTGATTTTATGAAGCCCGTGCGACCGCCGCGTAAAAAGAAAATGCGTCGCACGCTAACCTGGAAAAAGGAGAACTCCATTGTGGAGGCCACTGCCAATGCTGTAACCAGCACCGACTCTGAGCCCGATTACAAGCCAAACAAGAAAAAGTCAACAAGTACAACTAGTCCAACTGCTGCTGCAACTCCAACGCAGCCACTGCCATTGCCCGAGCAAAGCTACATTGAGCTGGACAAGTCGCTGATGCGTCAAGTGAACTCGCCCAGAAAGATCAAGTCTGCGTATACGTTGACAGTGATGTCCTCGCCATCGCCGAATGCCGACAGCGATCAGTCACCCTCACAGACGCCGCGTCAGTCCCTAGATCAGCACTTGCGCGATAGTTCCGTTGATCAGGGCTTTGAGACATGCTCCAATGACATGGACAACAGTCCGTTACGTCGCTCCTCGCTGGGCGTGGGCCAATCGAAGCCCTCTGGCTTCTCCACGCCGGTCAAGGGACGTAATTGTGTTAGTGTTGCACAGCAGCAGCTTTTCAGTCCCATTGGTGCAGCCGGACAACTGGACAAGTCACGTCGCAGCTCGTTGGCCATGCAAGTGATACGGGAGGATCACCCGTTGGATTTGGCCAACACATCGGATGCACCAACAACACCAACGTGCAGTGAGCGCGAATTCTTTGCCAATGCACCAACTGTGGAAATGAGCTCTTCACAGCTGGAGGAGCTGCCGCCAAGCAAACCGCAGTCGAAGTTTTGGATTAGCGCCGGTGATTTTACAGTCGCAATGGAAATTATGCACAATACACCGGAACGTTTGCGTTTGCTGTACGAGATCTTTACGCAAAAGACGTGGGAAACCCGTGAACTGACCTTTGGCATCGATGGACACAAGTTTTGCCAATCGGCAGCTGGCGTCCAGGAGGCAAAAGGTGGTCTGCCCGAGCGACCACCGAATGTGAAAGGATTCTCACACTATTGGTTTGCCAGCGGTGACCTGGCTGTGCCCTTCAGTGGCAAGCACATGCCCAGCGAGAAGATTGAGCGTCTGTTTCAGTTCCTTGATGCAGAGCTAGGCACTGACGTAGGTCAAGAGCTGCGTTTTGGCGTCGATCATTTTGAATTTAGCTGCGTGCCCGAGTTCTGGCACACATCGCCCAAGTTCTCCATAGAGAGCAGCTACAGCATGCTGGTTGGTCTGCAGACGGGTAATAGCAATGGGCTTGAGGGACGGAGCAAGTATGCCTGGCCCAACAACACTCACAACAATGGCTCCAGCAATGCGATCAAGACCAGCGATCTGGACCAAACCGAATTCGAGTCGGATAGCTTCAGCAACAATAGCGGTCGACTTTCCTTTTCGCCGGATCTCTTTAGCCAGGAGTATGAGAATGTGCCGCTGGATGAGCTCTTTGATAAAACACTACCCGTTATCCGCTCAAAGCCGATGAGCATGGCCCAAATGCTACGCACCCTTCAACAGCAGCATAGTAAACTAAAGAGCGTGGAGCAGCGCATTCGAAATTACGAGTTGCCTTCTAATCTGAACGAGGCGACTTTGAAAGAGTGCCGCGCCAGGCCGGAAATTGCCAACAAGCTGCGTGCCATTGATAATATTGCACGCAGCAGTGGATTTCGCGCTTGCTCCATGGAGGAGCTGGAGAGCTATATGCAGTTCCTTATCGAGTATGCGGACATTTGTCTGGGCAGCTGCAGTGAACACATCGAGCAGATTGTCGACACGCTTCTGGACCGACGCTCCGTCGCCGTTTAATTCGAAGAATTGCCAATAAGCACTATTTAATATCAGTATAATCAGTATATTATAGCCACTAAACATATAATGTTATAAATATTTCATTACTAATACATATAATCTTTAATAAAAATTAGGCTTGATTAATTTACATTGCCCTTAAACATCAGATAGTGGCTTAAAGTTCAAAAATGTATAGCTTGTAAAATAAATTAAAATTCATTAAAAAATACAAAATTCTATGAATTGCTGTTGTATAAAAAAATCTAATTCCACAGTTATACAAATTTTACAAATTTAGAATCTTCAGAAGACGCCTAATTTTATATATTTTTTCGACAGTCTTTTGTAAAATATATCTAGATTATTATTATTTAATATCTCTATAATAACTATATATTTTTTTTATATAGATACATGGTATCCAGAAACTATTTTATTTTTAATAATTTCGTTAATAGATAATAAATTAAATTCATGGACATCCAAAACCTTTATTTAAAGAAAAAATAAAACTATTAAATCTTACGACACAAATATTAGGTACCCATAATTTTTGTATTAAATGGACTTCCCTGAATTGTTTTCCTTTACTGGTTTATTCCCTTTTTTTTGCTTTCAAAGCATATTGAACCTTTTGGCCGGATTGGTTGGTCAGCTAAAGTGTAGCCAGTGAAAAAGCTACAACTTGCTGTGGAATTGACCCATTCAGCTTTAGTTGCCAAGCAGGATGTTGAATGCATTCTCAGCATCTTTAGCACATTCGATCCCCCTGCGGGTGGAGGAAGCCTCCTATGTGTTTACACTGCGCATACGCCACGTATGACAAGTAGTGTCACGTTGCTCTTGCCGTTGCTTTGCAAAATATTTGCCTTGAGTTTTTGTGGCCAACAAACAAGTCATGTGAAGGTCTTAGCTATGCAGCAACAAAATCTCCGACTTGCCGTAAGCAGTTACCGATATGCAATGTGCAATGTCAGTTGGCAGCCAAGTGGGTAACGCCCCCGGAATCAATAACAATTTCACGTCCTAGTACTCAAAGTGCTGAGCAAACACGGAATCAAATAAAATCTCTGATGTGCGGTATTTTTGTCAATCCGCTCGTGACTATAGAAAATTCGAATATTAATGATATGTATTATTATTATGCATATTTTTTTATAAATTGTTATTATTTAATTTAACTGTACTAGTTTACTTATTTTATTTTTTTGGGAAAACCCCTCTCAGTGAATTCATTCCAACGCCGTCTAAAGATTCGCTTATGTAAAATAGTGTATAAATTGCATGCATAAAATGAGCCAGCAATTAAAAAAGAATAATTTCACTGTCTTATAACTCAGGTGAAGATCAAGAAGATGATGGTGATGGTAAACTTAAATTCGTTGGTAATAGAGCTCCTTTCTAAATTTCCATGTATAGTATGCATTTCTTAAGAAGTATCTTATGTAGCATAATTTTATTTCGCTTAAAAATTACAGATTAAAAAATTAGTTGAATGAGCTGTATGAAATTGTTATGATTACAACACATCTGGACTATGTAGTTTCAGAACGGTTGATATTATTAGAAAGCTCATAGATACAAATGACCCATTTTCCCTCGTCCTGTCCACTATACAGAGATACACATGACATTTATACTGTTATTCATGTCACCGGCTTGTCAGCCTTGCAGTTCAATGTAGTTCTAATTTAGCCGGAGCAAGCGGGACCCTGATTGCATCCCGAACTGTCGGCGATTTGAGTTTTTTTCAGAAATGGATAAAATATAATCAAGGTTTAAATTTAACATTGGACATTGTTAAATACTTCTGTGGATATCGTCAATGACTCACGCATACTTACCAAGGTACATTCTATATTCAGTAAATAAATTTTAAAAGCAAATTATTTATATTTTATATTTATTTATTTTTTGCATACGAAGCAATCTTATAATGTGGTTTATTCCGCTACCTCCTGTTGTTTTTGGGGGATTAATTTCATTAAATGTACATTATCACTCTTATCAATTAGAAACACAAACTAAAGCCTATGATATATTTATGTATGTGTATATGTATTTTAGTTCTTAATTAGGCTGCCATTTATGTATGTGAGCATAGATCAGGATATTTAAATATGTATTTCATGCCATTCGAATAGAGTTGTTCGTTAATTAATAGTTTAATTGCTATGTATAAAAAGAAACTTGAATTTTTCTCTTCGTTTCGATTAACACCTCTCCAACGAGTAAATTTATGGCTTCGTAAATAGAGTGTTGCCTAATTTCATACAAATTAAAGCGCAATTTATTGTAATGCTTATAACGAGTACATAATTTACAATTGTTTATGTGTGTCTAATTATTTACATATGTATGTTTGTCTGTATTTCTTTTCTTGATGCTGTGTGTGTGTTTTTGTGTGTGATTTTTATCGCTTAATAATTTGGCAACAATATGTTAAATGCGTATATTAAATAATATTTTGCTTGCTCATTTGCATTGATTTAAATTTCAATATATTTATTTATCTAATTGAATACTGAATTTATGTGCTCTTCCTGCAAGGCAAGGTCTCTATACAAACTGTAAGACACTGAACAAATAAATTTCTAATAGTTAAAATGAATACATAATTGAGAAATTCACGGAAATATTCACGGAATAGTTATAGAAAGTCAAAATCAGAAATAAAAACCGATAAACACTGTTGAAATTCTTGGAAACTAAACACATGTATATTTATATATTGTTTTAAGTACCTTTTCATCGTTTACAATAAAATATTTAAGATGCAAGCGTAACATACTGTATAAATATAAAAAATAACATGAACATGACCAAAAGCAGCTGAAAATTTAAATATCTTTTTTTTAATAGGAATATGAATAAGAGTGTGTTCTTGTCGGCTCTGCTCTCTTCTCGTGGAGTTGCCTAATTTACTGTGCTCTGTTTGCCCAAAACTATTGGTTTGTTTCTACTTTAATGTAAATGGAAAAAAAAATCTAAAAAAAAATGTAATCGCGATGCAATTAGCAAATTACTCAATTCAATGTTTGTTGTGTTTCTTGATTTTGTTGTAAAATGTGTTGCTTCTTTTTGGCTTTCAATTTTATATGTTTTGTTGTCTTGCTTGCGCGGTTTTTGTTTTTTTTTTTGTGTCAATTTTTAGTTGTTTTTTTTTTATATTTTTATTTTGTAATGGCACTTTATTAATACAGTTTCCTCTTATTTTTAATGATGCGAATACGTTGCCAGCAGCGAGAGAAACGTTAACAGCAAACAGACAAAGCCAGGTGATTTTCCAGCGCCACTTTTGCCCTTGGACCAGTCATAGCCTTCCGGATTGCTACCCATAAGTTTCTGTTCGGACTTGCCGATCTCATTTAAATTCGATTGGTATTTAATGCCCACTGTTAGTAAATGTCAGTGAAGAATAAACCATAAATGTAACAAAATGGACAGTTTAATGCTTTTAGCAACTTACATTTGTCAATCACAATCACCGAGTTCGTGGGCACATCCCCGCCGAAGCCATTGAAGGGCGTATTCGAGTCATAGGGCAAGTTCATTGTTATTGTTGTGGTGCGCAATGTTGTGGTTGTGGGCGGTGGTTGTGTGGTTGGTGGACTGGACACTGCAAACAAAGTGGAAACATATTTGTGGGTCTCCGTTTAGAACACACATCTCAATGCGAATTAAATCAGTTAGTAGACTTAAAAACTCTAAAGATTAATGTTAAATTACTATTGAGTTCTTTCAATAAATTGTTAACTTACTAATTAAGGGAATGACCAAATTGATAAATAAACTTTAATATAAGATAGTTTTTCAATTTGAGCGCGTTTTAAGAGCACGAATATTTAAAACGAGCTTGTGTAAGACTTAGGCAGCTATTTTCATCTTTCTCTAAACAGATTTACGCATGATTAAGATAATGGACATATAAAACAAACAGCTTAAGTAAATAATATAAACATATTATCATAGGAGCAATCTGTTAAAATACTCGTAGTCTATTATTTCATTTCTAGCTCAATGCAATTTCGAGTATATTTACACTTCTTTAAGTCTTTCATTTATCCAATTGTACCCCTCGTAAATTGTTCGATATTGGCTTGCCCTTCGTTTTCAATTTCTTTCCCTGTGGATGTTCTCTGGTGCCATATCATTATTGACGGCAATTTGTTGGGTAAATTTATGAGGCTGAGCGCTTGGTGCTTGGCCTTGTCATGCCATGACTCCTTATCGGTGGCAATGCCAAAGGATGCTCCAAACTTTCCTAGCAATGCTGACCACTTAATAACATTGTCACAGGTTCATTGTTCTCATTGTATTGTGTGGTGCCATTATTGCCGCCCTCTTATTATCAGTTGCTGTGGCTGCTCTTTGTTACCTTTAATTGGTAGATCGTTACCACCCTATTCCCACCTACACTCTCAATGACAGAGCAGCAGACCAATTCACTGTATTGTTGTTGCTGCTGGCGTAGCGTCAGCCTCGATGCTGGCTGCGTTTTTATCGTCTGCGCGCCCAAAAATAAATTAACTTGTCGCATTTTCACATTGACAATTTCTGGCCGCTATTGGCCATGGCCTTTTGCCGGCGCCCTCTTTTTATTGTAGCGCAATGAATGAAACGAACGAATGGATATTTTATATTGTTTTATGAACTTTTGTGACCGGAATTCGAGTTACGTACTTGCTGATACTCACATATATATATATATATATATTTTGCAGCCGGCTGCTTTAATGGGCCACCAACTGGGACTGATTTAGCAAATTGACAGATTATTGGCATTTTATTGGCCGAATGCCCAACACAACAATGGAAGCAGTTTAATTGTCGCGTATACGCCGTGTTTGCTGCCTATATCACTTTGTATTACTTGACAAACTGTCATATCGATTTACAATCAGCTTTCATATGTGACACCTATGGACATCCAAATATATACATTTGAAGCTACAAATATTGTCTACCTCAAAATGTTGTGGAAAATGAACTACAGGTTTGTAGTTTCTATTATATACAACATGCACAAAAGTATCTAGTAACTGTGAGATACAAAAGATTTAATAGGACTTGAATAAATTCCATGAAATTCTAAAGTATAAGTGAGATACAAAAGCATCTGGTCGTAAAAGGTTCTAAAATGTTCAGACTATGTATCTGAATGACAAAAAAGACACAAAACTGTCTTAAAAATAAAAATGAATTTGTAAGATACAAAAGTGTTTGAGCTACATATCCGTACGGATAAAAGGTATTTTGAAAATCTATAATGAAAATGCAAAAGTCCGAATCAGGTTTTATCAATAAACGTAGGTTTTCATTATTGTTTCTCAATATTTCTGAAAGGGTTTCATTCCTTGGCACTAAATATTCAGCATTTCCATTGTCACTTATGATACGCATCTTTTAAGTTAAGTAGATGAGATGTTTAATATATCTCATATGTGAAGTGCATGTCTAAATAGATATATACAGGATATAGCCAGTTGTAGCCAGCAATGCAGCTAGATTACATAAAAATTGTTTTGTTAAATTAATATATGTGCTGAGTAATGTAATCTAGCTGCATTGCAATGCCAAATAGAAAGCTCTGTGCAACTGGCTATAGCCTGTTGCCCAACTAAAACAAATGACCACATTATCTAGTACACACACACACACAGGCACAGACACACACACACACACACACACACACACACACACACAGGCACACACCAATGTTGGGTGTCCCCGTCAGACGCCGTCCAATCAAGTATACATAATTGTGCGCCATAATTAAAGCCACAAATGGTGTACTTTTAAATTTAGCCATGTCAAAAAGAAATAATATAAAATAACAACAAGTCCACACACATTTGGGCCAACACTAGTTATTTATTGCACTTATGTGCGTCTGCGCCATGCCGCACTGTTCACGCATTATGGACCAATATTGAAAAGTATAAATAACACATTGCGGGCACTTACTGTAGAGTTTTATGTTGCCATCCATGTCGCCACGAGGATTTTTGGCGACACATTTGTAGTTGCCATAATCGCTGCCCTCCACATTGGTAATCGTCAGGCGCATTGTCGCCTTGTACGATGGATGGCCCGGAATCGTTTCGGTTCTACAATGAATCAAATAAACAACAAAAAGCATTGTAGTAATAACATAAATATAAACAATAGATTGTTGTGTACACAAATCGGTTGCAACAGTAGCATAATTTGGGCAAGTTCAATGACAGCAATTGCGCCGTGCCTCGGTATAGGTCAGTGGCGAGTGGCGTAGATTCAATGAGAGTCAATCAGGGGAATCAAGGCCAAGGTGAAACTGATAAGCGTTGTCTGTGACCAATTAGGTCTAATCAGAATGCGACCCGGCACCGTGCGCACAGTGGTCACAAAGCGATAACAAAACAGGGTGATTTGCATTTATTGGTTTTCGTTTCTCTTACACAATTCCAACATTTTACATAGTGCATTTTGTGCTTTTCAAAAATTATTATTATAAACATTATTATTAAAATTAATTTTATCAATAGTTATTTATGCAGTAATAGTATAATAAACTACATAATATTTGAAACCAAATGAGCATGGATATAGAGTGAGTGAATTACACAAATTAAGGAAGATATTTCAACTTTGGCCAAACACACAAAAAAATGGAGAGTTTTTGTTTTAGTTTTCGCACTTGTGTAACAGTGTGGCGTGTGTTGCGATGAAGACTGACAGGCAGTCAGCGCTGCTCGCCGCCGTCTAGGTAGCCAGAGCCAGCGTGTCGGCTTTTGCGCTGGCCAGTCATAGTTCAACGAAGCAACATGCTGAAGCTCAGCCTGATTGCCTGGCTGTTGTGCTCGCTAACATGGCGCACAACGCCCACCAGCTGCCGTCAGACGCGAACGGCGCCCAGCATACAGGAGTTGCTGGCTAATCAACTACAGAGCTACATGGACACCAAGGCGCGTCCGTGCGAAAATTTTTATCAGTATGCCTGCGGTAATTGGCAGTTGCAGCAGGAGGAGCACACACAGCACACACCACATTCACAACATCAGCAACAACAACAACAACAACAGCAGCAACAGCAGCAGCAGCAGCAACACCAACAGCGACAGCAACAGCAGCACAGGGAACAACAGGAGCAGATACAGCCAAGCGATACATTGGCTGTGCTAGATTATGCTCTGAATCGTCAGCTGGAGCAACTGCTGCGACGTGCGGGTAGCAATGAGAGCAGTACGGAGGAGCAGCAGCAGCTGCCTCAGCTGGCGGTCCAGGAGCAAATGCGTAACTATTATCGCGCCTGCAAGCGCCTGAAGCCGTACAATCTGAAAAAGTATTTGCAACTGCTGCAACCGGGTAACGGGACAAACTGGCCACTGCTTAGTCGCAGTTGGCAGCCGGAGAAGTTCAACTGGCTGGCGACAATTGGACGCTTGCGCTTGTACGGTCTCAATGGGGTGCTGCTCAAAGAGCAGGTGCTGCCGCGTTGGGATGACTCCAGTAGCTATAGCCTTTATCTGGATAAGCCCAGCCTGATGGAGACGGCGCCAATGGGCGAAGGTGCCATGATAGAGCTACTTCTGGACATTGGACAGACGAAACGTGTGGCCAATGAGCTGGCCCGGCAAGTGGATAGCTTTGAGCGGCAGTTGCATCGACTGCACGAGCTGGAGGATGACGAGGGTCCCAAAGAGATGCAATTGGGCTATTTGGCAGAGTTTATGCCGCAACTGCAATGGCTGACATACATGCAACAGTTGCACGCCACTGCAACAAACGGCAACGAACTGGATCTCCTCTCCACGCTCATCATCCAAAATTTACCCTATATGCGCGCCTTGGATGAGCTGCTGCAGCGCCACAAACCGGAAGCAATTTGCAATTATATAATGCTCAAGTTGCTTGCCTTTCTCAAACAGCAGGGTCCAGCGGAAATATCCCGTGTTGAGTGCATGGCCAGCCTGAGGCGTGCCATGCCACTCGCTGCGAGTTGGCTAATTGGCCAGCGATTCCACGAGTCCAGCTTTGAGCCGCTGGTGAATGATTTGTTTAATCGGCTCAAGCAGCATTTTGATGAGCTGCTCATGGCGAATCGGCTGCAATTGCAGCAGCCCATTGTGCAGGTGTTGCGCGAGAAGTTGCAAGCAATGCGTTTGCAATTGGGCTACGTTCAGCTGAATGATTCCAGCTATGTGGAGGATTACTATGAGGGGATACAGTTAAATGCGCACAGCTTCTATGGGAATCAGCTGGCGCTGCTGCGACAGCGCGTCGAACGGAATCATCAGCTGCTGCTTGAAGGTGGTGAGTCAGATGCGAATAATGTGAGCTACCTGATGGAGCATTGGTTGAGCAGCAGCTCATCACCGTTCTATGTGAAGCCAAGGAATCTGGTATTGGTGCCCTATGGCCTACTGCAGCTACCCATTTGGCATCGCAACATGAGCGAATTGCAGCAGCATGCGACGCTGGGATTTGCATTGGCCCATGAGCTAATCCATGGATTCGATAGCTCGGGCATTGATTACGACAGCGTCGGTAATGTTATGGGTCCTAGCGAAGAGATAACGGCTAATGCACGCTTTGTCCAGGGTCTCAATTGCATGCAACAGCAGCTGGCTACCGGCTCCAGATCCCTCAACGAGAAGCTGGCCGACTATGAGGCTCTGCGTCTGGTTTATGAAACATTTTTTGGCGAGGATATGCTAATTGAGCGGCGAGAACCACGTGATCCTCTGCTGCCACAGTTCAGCCAACGCCAGCGTTTCTTCATCAGCTTTGCGCAGTTCTTCTGTGGCAAGTTGCAGAGTCTCAGCTTACATGCCCAACATCTGGAGCATGCTGTCGATGAGTTACGGGTGCTGCAAACCCTGGCCAACTTTGAGGAGTTCGCCCGTGAATTTGGTTGCGAGAGACGCAACAAGATGCAAGCAAAACAAAAATGCAGAGTGTGGTAAGCTGTCAGACCAGGCAATAAGCTAAGAAAAATAATATATGATGGAAAATAATCTAGTATTTAATTAAGAAGAGTGTGTGAGGCTATCTAAAGATACGGTGAAATTAATGACAAAGATAATGTTATAAACAATGTTAAGAAATTATAAAATATTTGTTAAAAATAATGTATTTTACGTAAAATAGTTCCTTTTGTTATATAAAAGATATCTCACATTCGTATTTTGCTATGGTTCAAGTAATATATATTTAACAATGCAAGAAGAACAAATATAAAATGTGTATAATATTAGAATATTAGAAAAATATTTGCCATTAGACACGTCAAAATGTATTTAAATTGTTTGTTTCTTTATGAAGAATTGCTTCAATTTCTGTAGTATTTTTACCACAATCGACACTTTTGAGCCGGATGCATATTGTCGAGACCTTGACGGCAACCGTGTGTCTCCGCAAACGCTGAGAAGTTTATCAACATCTGCTTCAGACGCATCTCATCCGGATCGTGATCCTCAAAATCAATTGGCGCAGCATTGCCACAAAAGAATTGTGCCACGTTCAGGAAGAAGAGCTCATTCAGTGTCAGATTTGTAAAACTGGGCTGTGACTGGCTGAATTTTGAGTCAGGATCAAAGTAAACATCATAGGCAAGACGGATGCCAGCAATGTCCGCCTCGCGTTCACTCATATAATCGGTTCTATTTTGATTGAGGCAACGTATTCCCGCCTTAAACCGACTTGTATATGTGATCTGCTCACCCCGCTCATCAAAGTTGCCGTGGGCATCCATCAGCAATCCCACAGATTCGAAACCGTGTATAAGCTCATGGCCGAGCATGAAACCCAACAAACTAATCTTGAATATATCGTGTGCGTCGTGCTCGAAAACGGGGTCCTGGAGAATGCCAAAGGGCACAATGATGATATTTTGGCGGACCATATAGTAAGGTGCTGAGCTCATGCCAGTGTCCGAGTCCGACATGAAGAAGTAAGCGCTCGCATTAAGCGGACTGTACAGCTGCTCTAACCAGCGCCGAGTACGGAACTCCAGCAAACGCAAATGATTCAAAGCATAGTCATTAGTTTCAGCCAACTGCAAGTCTGCATAGAAGCGCTTAACAAAGCTGGAATGATTTGCATTCTTTGGCATATTGCCAATGTTGATGGTCATGCTGCGCATCTTGGCTCGCAGCAATGCCACCTGAGCGGACTTCAACCGCAGATGATTCACATCTAACTTCTTGAGGAATTGCTTGCGCAGCAGCTCAAAGAGCTCCAAGACATCCGCTTGATGCTGTCGCGCCTTCTCCGATCCAATTAAACGCTGCTCATAGATCAAATTCGTGGCCAGCTCCATGTTGCGTCGCACATCCTGAACGCATGCAATGGTGTCATTACTATCCATAGTCTCCGCTTGCACATGCGAAACAAAGCGCAGCATAATGTAGCTAGCTAATACCTCACGATCAAAATTGGCGACTAGCCGGTTTAGCTTCAATAAATATTCCGCATTTTCCACATGCAATACAAGATTGGCGGGTATGCTGCGACCAAGCAGGATTTGCAAATATTTTCGCCATTGTCCGCCAGACTGTAGCTCCAGCTGCCGCAGACTCAACTCTTCATACAAACTCTCGTAATCCATTTCGGCCAACTCGCGTACAGCGAGCTCCAACTGCATGACTTGTTTCGTCAGAGACAATGCTCTACTGTTGTGAACGCCCAGCATGCGTAGCGTAACCCAGATCAGAACTTTCCTCAGGCGCTGTGACTTCTGCTCGAAGTAGGGCATATCAACGTATATTGAGTATTTGCTGCTGTCGAACAGATTGGGCCGCACATCCAGCTGGAAGAGCACATTCTTCAGTCCGTAGCGTTGCAGACGTGCCAACGTTTCCATCCAATGGAATTTGCTGCTACCCCAGACATCCGATCGTCGCTTGAACTGCGGCCAGTGTATTTGCTCGTTTGGTGGCACTAGCTCCAGATAATGTTTGCTTGAGCGCGTTGATTCCGCGGCCTGGCGGCAGGTCTGATAGAAACTCAAGACCTTGGCCTCCACACTGTTTGGTGGGAATGAACGATCCTGCTTCTGCTGGTGCAGTTTGGTCATAAGAGTAACCAAATTGTTATTAACCTTGTGATCAATAAGACCAGTTATCTCCATAAAGTCATCATTCTCATGCACCTCTCCCCACTTGCCACACGCGTATTTATAGTAATCATCGCACACTGGAACACTCTCGTTCACATAGCTAAGTATCTGATTCAGTAGCTTCGTATTGGGAGTAGTTATATGACGATATTTTGCCTGACTACCACCTGACAGACACAATAATAGTATTAATTTAAATCGAAAATTGCGACAACTTGATGCTGGTGTCGACATTGTCATTAACGAACTGTCTGCTCCGCTCCTCATTTTTTCGATTTAAGCTGAGCAGCTGATCTACAATCAGCAAATATGTATACTATGTAATAAAAATTGTCTCAGTTTATTTTCGTAGAGAGTGCAGTTAGAACAAGATAAGAAAACAACATGTTTTGCTGGTAAAATAAGGTAAATTAACAGATAAGCACCAAAATTCTGGCAGTATTGCTTTTCAATGAAATTTTTGTCTTATCTCACTCATTACCATTTCCTTAATAATATTAATAAAAGTGATCTTTTAAATAAAGCAAACAATTTCCAATATTCAATTGTGAATCAGAAAAACAGCACATTTGTCATTTTGTGTAATTAGCGATATTTCTTGGATGATATCGAACAAATATTGATCTTCAATATAACTTAACAAGTTCCTCAGACTATTGTTCTGAAAGTAACATCGTATATTAAAGGATTTTCACATTTATTATTATTATTTTTTAAGTACAGAAAATAATTAAGAGTATTATTGAAAATTATAGTTGTAACAAATGTCACATGCAACAGATAAAGTGTATAACTTTTTGTCCAGTCAGTTTTTTAAATATCGTATTAAAATATTTTGGGCTCTTCTTTCGTTCGTCGTTCTCAACCTCTCATTACTTTTCTCTCTCTCTCTCTCTCTCTCTCTGAATCACTATCTTAATTATATATATTTAAATTGCAAATTATTAAAAAGCTTTGCATAGTTTTAGTTGTTGGCTATTTGTCAATATCTCTCTGCCTCTCTTTCACAGTCACTCTCTCTCTCTCTCTCTCTCTCTCTGTCTCTCTCTTGCTGGCTCACTCTTTCTCTGTCTCATTTCTCTTTTCTTTCATTAATCAGGAACAATATTTTTTAATGCCCGCAGAAAAACAATATATTATCAATGCAATCAAAATTGCCACTTGTAAATCCCACAAATTAAAGATGGGACGAATTTAACATATTTACAATTGCTAGCCTGGCTACACGTCAACCCTATTTACAAACATATACACTTATCTGTACATATATATATATGTATAATATAACTTACTTGTACTTTGATGACTCGGTTATCATTTGTTCATTCTCGCGCGTCCAATAATTGAGCGATGTGGGATTTGCCTCGATGAAGCACTCAAGCGTGACATTGAAGCCCATAGGAATGCCAACAAGCTGATGGGGAATCCAGACCATTGGCGAAACTGTAATGCAATTTGGAGCATTAGATTATGTGTTTACGTATCGATTGAATAATAATTTGCCAACTTACAGTCAACGCTGACTTTGATGCGCTTGGAGACGCTGGGCGGCACACCATTTGAGGCAATACAGAGATAAGCACCCATGTGCAGGCGAGAGATGCGCTCGAGTTCCAATGAATCTGTTTCCAGGTCATTCACTGCAACAATCAGCAATGCAATGGAGTCTAATATTTTATGGGAATTGCAGTTGCAAAGTTGGACTCACCTTCGAGCGTCTTGTTGATGACAATTTTATGGTTGTCATCTCGTTTCCATTTGATGGACGGCTCTGGGCTGCCTTTCGCCTTGCAACGGAGGGTGACATTATCGCCCTCGCGCACAATGACATCACTGGAGGTCAGCGCATCGTCAATGTTTGGTGGCACTGTATAAACAAAAAATGAAAAAAGAAAAACGATTGTGGGGTAAGGAAATTGGTATTGTTATTTCTGCAAGGTTAAACATAAACTCAAAGCGAGCAGTGCTTGATTTAAATGCAAAAACTTTTGCATTTTGGCAAATAGCGTTGCCAAGAAAGTGGAGACGGCTAAAGCTGAAGAACTCAAACAAACGAATCAAATATACACTTTTCGATTCTATAAAACCACTCCATATAAATTTGTTTAATAGAAAAACTGAAAAATAAATTATATGGTTTTCAAATGTATTTAAATTTCTGTTTAATCACAACCATTTCATGGACTTCACTAATTTATTTACTATATAATAATATATTCATCGACAAAGCTCTTAAAGAGCTATGATTGTACCTTGAGAGAAATGATTGTTGTCTTTTTTCTATAAAACAAGAATAACCAATTATCTTTTTAAAAGCTTATTTTAAATAAACTTGCACAGCTATTCACTGCAAATATGCAACATGTTTTGGGAATCTCAATGCCAAACTCTTTTAAGAACAATTCGCAAATGAATAAGCAGCTAAGTAAAGGGAAACAACAATCATGGCAAACAATATGAGAAAGTTCGGTTGAACTTTTGGGAAGTGTAGAAAAAAGCATTTCACGCATTGTTGACTTTGACGCGCTGATTCAACTTTGTCCCAAGAGATATTTTAGTTTAAGCCTAATTAGCTTTGCGACAAGACTTTGGCCTGGCTAACTTTTTGGGCAAGTCTGTTAATTTAAAAATCGATGCAGCAACCTTCATCAAATTGTCATCAGCCTTGGGGGACACCGTTGTGCTCGGGCTTTCAATTGCTGGCTGAAACGTTTCTGTCAAACCCTTTTTTTTTTTTCTTAAATTTCTTTTTGACCATCCAGTGCTTTGCCCTTCAAGTTGAAAATCTGTAATGAAAAATCTATGCAAATCAAAGCGCACAAGCGCAGAGGCCATAGATTTGGACCAGACCCAGAGTCAGACGAGCGGACAGACATAAACGGATAGACAGGCAGACAGACAGACAGGCTAGCTGGACATATGGACCTGATCTGTCGTGGCCGCTGACAGACGCTGCAGTTTGTCTCATTTCATATTCCGAACGGCGCCTGTAATCAAAAGATATCGCATGCAATTTTTTTCATTTGCGTTAAGGCCTGGCCAGGCCTGTGAGTCACGTGCCCGACGCGTTTAGTTGTCGTCTGACGTTTGACGTCTTAGCTGTTATCTCGTTGCCTGACCTCCAATATTCAATGCTTCAAGAGAATTTCAATACTTAAGCGAGAAATATTGCGCGAAAACTTAAGCGTATCACTGCATCGCTGATTATTCAAAATACATAACAGGAAAAACTTATTTAAATTTACAACGTCATTTTTAATTCAGCCGTTATTAAATATAGAATCATCGATTGTTCTGTATTATGCTGAATCAACAATCTTGTGCAGCTTAACTTCCTCGTGCATATTTTTTATTTTTTAGTAAGAACTTCGTATTTTCGTTTTAATGAATTGTGCTTAATTTTGTTAGCAAGTGAATCAAATAAGAATCGATAAAATCTCTTAAAATGTATATCACATTCATTAAATCTTAGTTAAATTTTGAAAAATTTGTGTGGCCCGCTTAAGGCTACTTTAGGCGCATTTAAGTTGGTTAAATCTTTACCTTTCGGTCACATAGCCATTGGGGACATGGCGCATAAAACCAAACTGTAATTAAAAGTTCCAATTACTTGAACTTTTTCTATGAGCTGTAAACTTTTGTCTTTTAGCTCCTTCGATTCGCCTGCCCCATAATGGCCAGGACCTTTATGAGCCAAAAGTGAGAGAATAAAAAAGTTTGCTCGAACCGTTTGCTGTGCTATTAATAAACGCTTGATGTGCTAATCGCCGAGCTGGACATAAGCGCAGCGAATTGCTCCACGGACAGCTGTTGCCCTCCCTATTTGACATATTAGTTTCTTTATTGATATTTAGCAGCTGGCGACATAAGAAAAGCTAGAAAACTTTTCTTTACCACAGACGTGATGGCTCGTATATTGTTTTTCTTGGTAAACTTTTCACATACATGCTGGAAATTTAATTAGCCAAACGAAATCCCATGTACAAAGTTTGATTTTGAGGATTGTCACAACTTGTGTGCCTCATAAGCCAGCCAAACAACGTTTATTCAATTTATAATTACAGTTCACAGTTCACAAAGAGTATTAACCGAGGCAACACAATGTGGCAAATTATTTAATTGCCATCTCCGCTTCCAAAGTTTTACAGTGTCCCGATAACAACGTGACCACCTAGCCGCCTAACTATTTAACGAGCTGCAATTAGTCTTCATATCCTTAACGCACAGACACACATATAAGCAGACAGCAGGCGAGTTTATCATGCGTTGCATACATTTTTGTTGACCAACAATTTTGTAAGTTATTTAGTAAATGTGAATTTGTAATAAGCTTGTAATATATATAATTTATATATATAATTTGTCTGTCTTTTGATATACCACAGTCATAACTATACTTTATATTATTTAAACATTGTGGAGACTCTTATCCTTTATTCAAAACTTATTATCCAGATGATAAGCATTATGGAAATGCTTACATATATTATTTGCACAATATTTTTATAAACACGTGAGATTAATATACTTAAAAAAAAACCCCTTTGTGCAAGTCAAAATGTTCTTCGCCTGAGGTTAGCAGCAAATTGTGCATTCTTTTGATCATTTAGAGCTTACCATTCAAAAGTAAAATATGTACGAGCATGTGAGCGTATTTTTAGTTTAGTCCCTGCTCATAGATGCAGTGTTGCACATAACTCAGACGCACTACTGTTCGCCCCTTGCCTTGGGAATGTCAACGTTGTAATTGAATTTAATAAATTGCCTCATTATGTGAGTAGAAATTAAAAATTATGCGCCAACAGAGTCAACATTGTGCAGAGCTCGTTATTGTTGTTGGTTGATGTTACATGTTGTTGCATTTGTTTTGCATTTTGTGCGGTCATTTGGCCGACTTTTGAGGTGGGGATTTCCCCCCAGTTGCGCACGCTCCATTCCCTGGGGCGCCGCAAAGCATGCAACACAACTGCTGTTGCCAGTTGGAGCCGCATTTAAATGCATTTTGTGTGCCTGGCTCATAAATTCAAACGCATTTAATGTTTGTTTTTACCGTTCCGCCATTTTAATATTTTGTGCTTTTGGGCTCGTGTATATTTTATTTCGTTTGCCTCGTTTCGAATTTGGCGTTTTCTGTTTGGCTCAGCAAATTAAATACACAAATGTTGCTTCAAAATGTATTTATTTATTTACTCGTGTGCCCCACAACATTCCAAATATCCGTTTTTTTTCCTCTATCTCTATTTAGACGGCAAATGCAACGATTTAATTTCATTATATTTGCTACACAATGTAATTATAATTTTTTTTTACCACTTAAATTGTTAAATTGAGTGTCACTGTAAGGGGCGTTTCATAGAACTCTTCCCAACAATTGTTTATCCAATTTTTTGTTTTTGTTTTGAATGCTTTGGTAAACATTGTGCGTCATTTAATTTTGTTGCCTCTAATTGGATTTGCTATGTAAATTAAATGCATTTCATTTGATTCCGTTTTGCTACGTTTATCAATTTTAAATTTGTGTTTATAGTCGGTTGTTAATTTATATCCTATTTAATGGAGTAAGCAGGATATTAAATTTCAAATTGAATTTAATACTATAAAGTGTACTTATATTCTTAAGCTGAGTCAAATTCCTTTTGTAGTATGTATACCAGATAAGGTCTAATTCAATTGATTGATGTTTTTGGAGATGTAGTTAAATTCTTATAGGGTATCTAGCAATCGAGCCCAATTATTTATTTTTAATTCCAGCGTGTAGATATAAAATACAAACTGGCATTTGATTTTTAAATTGGTTTAACTTATTTACACAACAAGTTTTAAAATGAACACAAATTTCCATGTGAATTTTGTATCGAAGTATAAAGCAGATGAAATTCTAAATCAAAGCCAATTTTCCACAAGTTTCTGGGGAATTAAAGAAATACGTTTCTAATATAGAATTTAAGAATTCACCTATTTAGCAAACAATTGGACTTTCATAATAATTAAGAGAGAACTGCATAAATATATCATAAGAATTATTGAGAGATCTTTGCCACAGAAATTCAATTTGTTTTAACTTATATATACAATATTATAATAAAAAACATGGCATTGTCTCTCCCTTAAGCTTAAAGATTAGTGTTTCTCTCTTTTGGAATTATTACCAAATATTCTGTAAACAATAATTACATTTTGAATTGAAATATTTTAATATTATCTCACTTTTGACGGCAAGCATGTAAGTACAACGACAAAGGCTACAAACAGATCCAGATGATTGGAGCGCTTGAATTTCAATAAAACCGAAAATAAATATGAAAAAGATTAAATGGCACACGGGGCTTGCGGTTAACAAAGTTGCCATATCCAATAAAAACACAATAAATGGATTGTTTAACTGCAGCAATTGAGCAATACCAAAGTCGAGGCATACGTTTGGAGGTTGGGCAATTTTCAATATGCATTGTTAATAGTTGGCTATTCATCGTTTATTTTTTTGCATAAAGCCATTTTCAACGGATTGGAGCCCCTGGGGCAATCGGAAAGTTGGCCTATAAATCTAATAAAAATGCAACCAAGTTTTCAATGTCGTGGGAAATGCAAGAATTTCGCACGAGATCCGCTTTTCAAGTTGACAAATCAACATCATCCGGCGGACAAACATGGAGCACACTGGACAGCAGAGCGTGGGTGTGGATGTAGTTGTGGATGTAGGCAACAGACGTTTTGCGGCAGTCACATAAATCAGTTTTTGTGGCAAAACTTAAAAAATATGTGCGCAAACAAATGGCATCCAAGCGTAGCTGGCTGCAAAACTGAAAACTGCACCATGCAACAGTTTGGACATGGACCAGTGGCACGGACAGTGACTGGAACAGAGAGGGGAATGTGTCGTTCACATGCAAATGTGTGGCAACATACGGACAAGAGGCATATGCTGTACGCGGCAGGATTTCAGTTTGGACTTGTCACAACAGAAATCCCAAGAAAATGGCTTTAAAATAGTAACTTGAATAATATATGTAGTCGATTGGTTAATCACAAGCTCTTATTTAATTCGACTGATAAGCAATAATAATTTGAATATGTTTAATTTACGAGTTAACTAATTATGTTTTGAATATTTGTATATTTCTCTGTGTGTTACAATCTTTAAAAAACAGCTAATATACCCCTACCTTAGCATGTGTGCGAGTATAAAAGTGCCTGTGGCATATTTAAATTGTTTTTTTTTTTCGTTGATATTTTTTGTGATTTTTGCTTTTTTGCCAGCTGACCAGCGACCAAAGTTGTCCTATTTTTTTCCGGTAAATTTGCCTTAACAAGACTTTTGCCACATCAGCATGTGTGTATGTGTGTATGGGAGATAAGTGTAACCATCGTCAGTATGTTTGTGTAACAAAAAAAAAATTGCACACAAAAAAATCAGACACCGAGATTGCAGAAAATTTTGCGAAGCTGTTGCCGCCGTTTTGGTCACGCCACATCGAATTGCCCGAACACGCATGTGGTGCGTGTGAGGCGTGTTATTTGAGCGTTTTACAACACTCAAGCGTGCTTAACGGCTTTTTGAAAGTGCTATCAGGGAGCAAAGCTCAAACAAAAAAATGTTGCACTAAAAATACGACCAAAATGTATATACATAAAAATGTGTAGTCAGGCATATTGCAACGATGCGCAAACGTGAAACGCTCAGCTTTACATACATATGCACTTAAGTTTGTACTACGCTATGTAATGGAAACTATGAGTATTATATATGAAACAAGAGGCAGGTGGGCCAGTTATGCAAATTGCTGGAATAGACTTTGCCAACTTTGACACAGTTTTTTAAGTTTTAGTCAACACATTTTTAAGTTCAACTCTAAATATCACATTACTTGAAAAACAATTAGAGTCCCATATCAGAATATAAAATATATATAGTCTCGTAGCTGTAAAATGTGACATATTTAAATATTTATGGGACGCTGACATCTTAGCACTGCTAGAGAAAATTCTTTGTTATGATATTCACGAAGTTTATATATTTTAAAAAGTCTATTGAAGTCTCAAAAGAAAAGGAAAAACAAACTTTGAAAAGTCAAAAGAAATCTTTACATTTATATGTAAATACAAAAAGTAAACTGTTTGAATTGCAAAATCAGCAATCAAAGAATATTTTCTATCGTTTGATGTTCCTTCTCATACTGATATGTGAAAATATTTATCTACTGCCTGCTGCCTGGACTTGTCACAAAGATTGTCGCTGACAGAAATTCCAGGAGAGAGCCAATGACAATTGCATTGTCGTCCATTTCCCAGTTGTCCAGGCGCATGCTGCGGGCAGCCCATGGGGCACACACATACACACACAAATGCAATAGTTCATTCTAAAATGTCACATGTCTTTGAGTATGTGTATTTGTTTGTGTGTGGCTATCAGAGGTGTGAATATGAGCAGCTGGAGATGAATTGCAATTTTTAAAGCATACTTCTATGGGCAGAGTGGACAACACAGACCTGAGTGAAAGTCCAATGTTTGTTTGCCGTAATAAAGTGCTTAATATGGAATTTAATTGTTTGTTGGTTTGTTTGACTTGACTAAAACAAGGCCTAAGCGGATTTGATTCCGACTGCGTGTTCCTGGGATGGATAGGGATGGGAAGTTGTACGTTAACTAATACCTGGCAATAGTTTGTCTGGCAAATGAAATGAAATATGCAAGGGACATGTGTCCAAGTTGCGACGAGATGTTCATGTAACTGGAGGCACACGCCAGAACAAATAATTCAATGTCAGCCATGCTGACATAGTGTACTCACACACACAGGCACACACACAAGGACATACACAAGCACACGCACCAGCACACATAGAGGCATACACACGATCTCACTTACCGACAACTTTGACAAAGCCATATTGGGTTTTGGCCGTCACCGTGTTGATTTGGCACATGTAGCGTCCCATGTCCTCCTCCTGCACGTTGTTGATGTGCAGAAACCAGGTGCGATGTTTGTCGTGCTTATCGTGCGTCACGCTAATCCTCGGATTACGTGTTATCACATGATTGTGCACCGTCAAAATGGCCGACTGCTCGAAGTGCATCCACGCCACCTGCAACAGAAACAATGTTGACTTTCATAAATCTATTTTTAAGTTACGCTTAAGGCCGTTTATCACGCCAAAAGTATCAAATGTTAATTTATAAGCAGCTGACAAAAATGTCAGCATTCTTTATTGGCAAACTTCGCCTGCCATCATCATCAATTTTTATGAAGGATTAACGACAAACGATGTCGTCCGGGTCCGTTGGTCAAATTGCCAAAGTTCGCGTCACATGTGACAACAGCTGCTGTCGCAAACTTTACTGCCTTCGTGCGTCATCAGGATGCGCATCCTGGACGACACCAACCGCTCCATTTCTGTCGCTTATGCAATAGTTTTACACAGAACAACAACCAGCAATTTATGCAAATTTAAGCGAACAGAAAACATTGGTAAGACGTGCTAAATGTAAAATAAAAAAATACAAGCAACCCACCATTGTCTACTCTTCCGTCGCGTCGATGCCATTCCAATGATAAATTCAAGCACACACACAAAAGAGACAGCAGCGGCAACTCAACAGCAACAACAAAAACAACAACATTCAATAGAAGTAAATAAAGGGGGTAGTGCCGATCAAGATGGCGAGTAGAAGGCGCTAATGTTGGCTCTGCATACATGGCAGAGGCGTAGGAAAAGGTTCAGAGTATATTTTGTAATTTGGAACTAATGAATTCGAACTATAACATACTTTTAATAAATATATAATATTTAGAACGTTTCTAGAGTTGTCTGGTTAGCAAACATTTATATTTTCAAACTGTTTCCTTCCAAAACATATTATTAAATAATTCTTGTATATTGATCACATCTACTTATTGTATAAATATATGTTTTATATTATCTAATTTTCATCTGATCATTTAGCAAAGAAATATTAAACAATGAAATGCAAAACTGCTTCCAGAGGAGAGCATAATATGAATTACCCTTAAAGCAGTGGAAAGCAACACATTACTAATTATTTATTTGGTCATAGACTAAGCATCAACCGTAATGATTGATATGCCGCGGTTATCACTCACAAGGGGCCCACTCGACATCAGACTGCACTTAACTTGATAGCTCTCAGTTCATTTTGGAATGGCAGAAACTTTCACTACAAGCTTTCACCTAATTTCTGCTTTCGCTATGCTCCTCTTCGAGGCCACCTCTGTTGTGGCGCGCCCTTCGATATGGCTGGGGAATGTGGAACGAGGCGGAAACTGATCCAGGGGGAGCTGCTTATAGTATTGCCGGCATAGTGTCAGGCAGCATAGACAGATATCGGTTAATTTTTCAATGTCTGCAATGAAAACGTGCGACAAGCTAACAAAATAAAAGGACCTTCTTGCCGTCTATTTACATTGTTTCGCTGTCTGACTCTTTGGCATCTCGACTTGAATAAAAATCAAGCATCTGTAGTTTGCTTAAGTAGTTCTCAGCTATCGCACCCCCCTCCCCCCTTTCACTGAAAACAAAGTCAAATATTAATGATGCTACGTTTATCAACCGAGTGAGGGTAGAGAACTGCAAGCGGCAACCAGGACGAGCCATATACAAAATCAATAAAACTGCATTAGCGCTCAACTTGGCAAACTTGGCTTTTAAAGCGTCAGATGCCAAAAATGCATGCAGACCCACACACACACATACACACACACACACAGATGGTCCAACATTTTAAAGTGTTGCGCACAAAATTTGCTGAAAATTCGCTGCATTTGCATTTCACATTTTGTTAGTTTTTGAGGTCATTTGAATGAAATTAATTAGGCTCATGTAACGCCAGCGAAAAAGTTGAAAAGCCAAACAAAATGGACACTAGCACCCCTACACCAAATCCACATCACCTCCTTTTGCAGAGCCCAAATATGCTGTGCAGATTTTGGGGCATGAAAGCGTTGCCGGCGGTTTGAGTATGTGATATTTGGCTTAATAATATTCGGTTGGAAAATGTCAGCGAAAGTCAAGGCAAAGTTGACTCCGTTGTGGGAGGCTGTGACTTTTTAATAGGCTTTCCATCTGCCATTAAAATTTTACGCATATTTAAGCCCATTTACAGTTGCAACGTCCTTCCCAAGGATTATAGGGAGCCTGGCTAAGCCTAACAGATGAGATCTCCACATTCAGCCTGACATTTGTGCTCGTCTCGCGGACGACTCGGCTGGCACAGTCTGCATGAATCTCAATTTAGACTTTGCCTAATTTAACTTATGCCAATGGACTACATGGGCACACAGTTGTGGATACAAATTGCTCGTTTGCTAAGTGGACAGAACTTGGCGAAAGCAAACGTTACTTGAAGTTCATGTATAACTAATGAATAGAAAGCACTTTCTGCAATAAGGCTTGTCAAGCCATTTAGCTGGAAAATAGTAATATTTAAAGCAGTTGCCATCTGCCCTTCATTATTGTGACAAACTCACACAAAAATAAGAGGTAATGCTGTTATTAACTTTTGTTCATTTATTTTTAATTACTAAATATTAACTGCAAACTAAATTGATGTAATATTAAATGCATCATCGTTTGATTACAGACATGTTTAAGAGCACTTATGATGACTCTTCAAATTACTCACATCGTTTGTAGTAATCACAATACTTGACTTAGAGCAAGTTTTTTTTCATCTCTTTCGTTGATTTTTGTACTTCCCAAAACAGTCATAAGTTTGCAGTATTTCTTATCAATTGTATATTTCTATTACGCTCAAACTAATTTAAAATGTCAATAATGTAAAATATATAAAATATATGACTTTCGTAAACAATTCCCGGAGCCCATCAATTATAATTTGTTGGTTTTTAAAATTCAAAATGTATATAGCAAATAGACATGACTGAAATACAAATGCAAACAGAATATTGAAAAAAAGCCAGTAGTAAGAGTGTAGTCTATCAATATTCAATGAATTTTTACAGATATTTTGTCAATAAGCCCAAACGTAAACAGAGATAAAAGGTATTTAAAAATATTAACGCAAATTGAAATACCTGTCGTGCATATCTTAACTTAAATTACTTGTAAAGTTGCTGAGAAATGTGTACCTAAAGTTGGCACACATAACTAAAATTTCATAAAGTTATTAGTTTTACACGAGGTCTGAGTCGATAAATCAATACACTCAGATGCTCTTCATTTTATTTTATTTTCGTCATATATCAAATTTGAATCCATTAGATATGATGCCACCGGTAATCATAATATTCAGTAATCAGTAATCATAATATTCATTATTGAACATATAGTCATTATCGTTATCTGAATAATCAGTTTGATCATTTTTATTGTCTTCTGATGAACAGGTATCTTTATTTTCCATTAATATGTTTGCTTTCTGTGCATTTGATTTTGTTAAGGATTTATTGAGGGCAAACAACTGTTTTTTATAAAAATCAAAACATTTACTGCCCTTTTCTAAAAGATTCCAAAGCTCATGAATACGTTCACTAATTTTTTCCTCAAGCTCTATTCGTCGTTGGTTATAAGATACAAATGTCTTATAAACGAAATACTTCTCTGAATAAAATTGTTCCGACAATTTGCTGACTCGAATTACATCGTCGATGTGATTTTCATATTCTTCATTGCCACGAAAGTATCCTTCTTTGGAATTGATAACCCTTATCAGCTTCTCTGTTAAGTGATTATCTAGAAGTTTGATTATGCTCTGTAAATGAACCTTCGGTTATAATTGCTCCAAATTAAAAAAAAAAACATTATTTCACTTCTGTTGTTGTGGTAGATGTAGTAGGATTATCGTCCGGTTTATTATTTGTAGCACCAGCTGCTGTTGTTGTAGGTTCTCCATTTTGACCACCATTTACTCTTTTCTTTTCGCATTCTCCGATTATAATGACTGGCAGCAGCGCCAGAACGCATGCAAATAAGCTCCAGTTCCCGATCATATGTATGATACCTTCAATTTTGCCAAGCTCGACTGAAGAGTGAGCTCCATAATAAGGGCCTTTTATACCATCGCCAAGCGCAGCTCGTTAAATAAAAGCATTTTTCCATTACGCTCAAGCTGATTAGAGATGTCAAAAGCAAATAACTTTACTTAAATACACGCAGTGGAGAGTTTCGCAACTTATGAATACTCTGTATCCAAACGGTATGAATTTAAATTTATGAATTTAAAATCTTTTTATGACAAATGGTTTATAATTATCATAACAATTCAAATATATCAATCATTCTACTCTGTTTAGACTAAACAAAAAATATAAGTACGAAAGTAACATTTGTTGCAAAAAGATAATAATATGTAGAAAGTATACAAGTTAGAAAATCGTAATTTAAAATGTAAGAAAAACACCCGAAGTTGATATTATTTCCCATACCGGGAATTGAACCCGGGCCTTCCGGGTGAGAGCCGGATATCCTAACCACTAGACAATATGGGAGGTAGACATAGGAGCGCCAAAAACAATTAAATGCATGAACTTGACATAAATTCCATGTATAATTAAGTAAGTTACAAATAGATTCATTTATTTATATGTCGAATTTTAATTTTAATAAACAATGACCTAGTTTATTAAAATTAAACTCTGATTATATTTGTCGTTATTAATAAAGGCAACGGATAGAAAATCCCAGCAAATTTATTGCTTAAATATTTTATTTACTTTCTGTCTGCTCTTCTGAATAACTATGAACTAAAATATATGCTTCTGGTATTGGGAATGAAACTTTAAGCTTGGCGCTCATTGTCTGATCAGACTGGAGTTCGAATTTTTTTGTTTAGTGTGCTTTAAATCCATGCATATATTTCCAGAATCACATGGATGCTGTCAGAACTGAAGCATATGCTGAAGGCGAAAATCGATAGACGAGACATAGAATGGCCAATTTGCAATTTGCGTAATGGCATAACTTGATGTCTTTTGTTCTCACTTGGCCAGAGACTACACTATACACACGACATACTAAATGAAGTCATAAAAATTTAAACAAAAACTACAAGCAGATGAAAAGAAAAAAAAAAAAGGAAGAAGAAAAACTACAAGAAACTTTCAGTCAGAACAAAAATAAACACACTTTATTATGCCTGAAAATGTTTATGGTTGACTCCGGCGTACAACGATGGCAGCAGGCAGCATCGGCAACAACAACACAACTAAACTTATGCTCGTGCTAGCCTGGTTGTTATGTCTGGTTGTTTGCGTAGGCGTTGAAAATTGAAATACAAACAAGAACATGACAGCATAAGAGCCGACAGTTTTGGCATGAAGTTTGGCTACCACTCGCCAACTCAGGCGAATGGTTAATGGTAAATTGCAGAGCAACGCTCGAAATATTAACAATTTAAGCGTAAACGTGTTAAAGGGGCGTCGAAGAACTACGCGAGTTAATTTACACGCAACTCAAATATTTGCACGCCAAGAATAGCAGCAGTTAAAAAGAATTAAGATACGAAATTAACCATTCGCATACCGAAGCTGAAATACTCTGGCAGACGCAACTAAGCCAACTGGTAAACCATTAAGAATAATAAATCAGGAAATATCTCTTTGAATTTTAATCAGCATTTCAAGCAAAACTGTTTAATAAATTGAACGCAAAAGTGATGCCTGAGAAGGCACCTTCCTATATAGAAAACATTTGACAACGATCCAAATACACATTGGTTAAGAATTTAAATATCAATTGCTTAAAACTATGCTTTATCATGTATTTGTTCAAATATAAATCAAGTCACATATTACAAATGTACAAGTTAAATAACTCAAAAGATCAACTGCATATAGCCCAAATGTGAACATAGACAACTTCTATGGCCATATAGAAGTCACCAGAAAATGCACTTTGGCCAACTTTATAAGAAAGTTTTTGTACCCACGGCCAGGATATAAAAATCAATTCCAATGTAACCTGCTGCCTGCTGCTGCCTGCTGCCTGCTGCCGGCTACGCAACTATTTTGCATGCAAAGTCACGTTTTATTGCAGCTACGCGTTGTTCTTGCTCTCTTTGCTGGTTTTCTGCTTTTTTTGTTGTTGTTTTTTTGCTGGTTAACTTTTGAGCATACCTGCGGCAACTGCGGCAGCGAAACTGGTCGCTTGGGCTTCTGCGCATTGTTAGTTTGGGTCGGTTGGGCTGGCAGGATGATTGCTATTGCATGCCAAACTTAAGGGCCATAAAAATTATTACGAGCACATAACATGCGCTCGCTGATAAAAGATGAAGCGAATATCTCGTTGTGTCTCTCGTGTCAAATGGAATTTATGCACGTTTTGGCCGACGCATATTATGGAAATTCAATTGGATGCAAATTTAAATTGCCGGGCACTCATACACACACACACACACAAACAAACACAAACACACTCACGTACACACACACACACACACACACTCAAAAGCCATTGGAGCTCAAAGCGTTCGAGAGCTATGCATATCAAGTGCAGCCCAAAAGTATGCAGTGCACAATGAATATTGAACAGTATCTCTCCAAACGGATTGGACAGACCATCCTCCACCTGATTAACGTGCCTCGATATGGTCATTTGAGTGTTGCATCTGGGGAAACTTGAGCACAAATTACTTAATTAAAGACACAGCTCTCTATACAGTTGGCAAATGTGCCACAATGTTTGGCAGTGCTGACAAGCGCTGAGCAAAAGGCAAACATGACTGGCACAATATTACACATAAACAGAAACAAAAACAACTAACAAAAACAACTAACAACAACTATGAGTACAACTCATGTGAGGAGCAGAGCCAAGCAAGTCAACAAGTTCAATGTGTTGCCCTCCGTGTCCAGTCGCCGGGGGGCGCCTGTTGCTATATCTATTGTTATTGTTGTTGTTGTTGTTGGTTTTGCTACTGTGGACCTTGACTTGGTTTGGTTTGTTGTTGTTGAATGCCCCATAGACATGTTTGTCTAAGACAGCGGCTTGTTAGTTCGCTGCAGGCTTTCGTGTCTGTCAGTTAAACACACTCACAAAGTCTCAGTTAACTTCAAGTTCGTTAAAGTTAATTTGCATTCAAATAAAGTTGACTCTATGCCACAGATTAAATTTTGTGAGTTTTTAACAGAGTTGTTAAATGAATTCTTGAAAATATGCAGGGTATTTGCAAGCACATATCACACTGTCATTTACTAGATCCTATTTACGTGTTTCTAATTTATCAACAATTGTAATATGGCTTTGGTGAGTTTACCTTACCTTATACGAGCCGAGATTTTTGACCGAACAGGCCAATTTGACATTGCGTCCCGCTGGTACTGTTATGTTATCAATGACGTCCGTGAATTCAGGATCCTCCTGTATGACTGCAATGAAATAGAACACAAGTTATTGTGACATAACCAATTAAGACAGCAGCTCAAATTAATTTCCCCTAGCGACACATCCAATTATATTTTATTTTCATATTTCCATATACGTTGAGTTGCCCTATCTATAATTAGCTGCGCTTCCAGCCTATAATCAGAAATAGTTTTGGGCTGTCGTTAATTTTCGTTGAAGGAGGCAGACAGTTTTATGAAGGCATTTGAAAATATTAATAGCTGTGAAGACGCAAGCCAAAGTGATTAGCCCATTAATGGCTCAGCTTTCAAAAGTTTTGACAGCGAAACGAAAGAAAACAGAAAGAAACTGTCAATAATAATAAACTAGCTCATAAAATTTGAAGGGGTTGATTTGAGGCGGTGGTCGAACCTAATACAACACACACACAATTATTTGCACACAATCGATTAGGCTAGCAAAACCATAATTCATAATTGAATTTCACGCCATGCGCCTTTTGATCGCCAATGCTATAAAGCTGAAAACCGAGTGTCGGGCGAATTGCGAACCGCTGCTGCAGTTTAGCCTAGTGTGAAATTGCATTTCGTGGCATTGTTGTGTCAACCCACCCCCCCATCCCCTGCTCTTAGTTGTTACTATTCTCACTGTAAAGGATACTTGTTATAGCCTTTGCCTTGCCAGCGGGCTGCATCAGCAAACCCACCAACCAACCACACCCAAGCGAGTTGCGCTCTTGTTGCTGGTTGTGTTGCTGCATTTAAGGTGATAAATGTTGTGTAAACGTTTGGCAGTTTGGCAGCTCGGCATGGTGGCTTTGGTTTGCTTAGGGCTGAATCAATAGTTTTATTCTCTGTGTAAAGGTTTTTGGGCAAACAATTCAGTTGTGCGATTGGCTTGTTTGCACTTTATGTAATCGTTTTAATGCTCTCCGCTTTATCAACAATATTATGATGTAGCAATATTATTTAGTTGAATAAATTCGTTTTATTTACATGTGCCACGTGTAGAATTCAGTCAATACCGAAATAGAGCTTATTCTGCAGTTTTCTGTTAGTTGTTTGTATCTTATGTGGAAATTGCATTGTTGACAATGATTATTCAAATATATTTTTTATATATCTCACTCCTGTGTCACAATAGAAATAATATCAAATCAAAACTTCGTTTTTATTTATATACTTTGAAATAAAATTGTATTCAATTATATTCATTTAAAGTGCAACTTCAATGAATATTATATTGCTGCTGAGAAAACTAGTAAAATATACAAGCTAGAAGAATTTCCCACATTAGTCTGTTGTCAAAAACTTCTATATTTGGTAAATGTTAAAGTTTGCATAAATGGTTTAAGAGAAGATTTAAACGACATTCGGACAAATAAGTAAAATTGAAATGTCATTTATGTAAATATTGTCATGTCGTTGTGCAATGCGTTTACAGTATTTGAGCGATAGATACGCTGAGCTCAATCATGTTTGCCAAAATGTGATACAGTCAAGAGACAACAACTTAAACATATTGGATTACTAGCCACAAATGTCGTTTTGGACACAGTCATGCAGACAAACTGTGTCGACTACAGAACATATTTTGCAAACGTTATGGTTACATTTTAGGATCGCTTAACGTTAGTTTCAGGTACACTGATGATGGGCTGACCGCCGCTGCTGCAACTCATTTAAGTTCTAATTACCTGAAACTGCGGCAATTAATTAGCTGGCTTGGGCTAACGACAACGGTAGCAACAGTCATTAGTTTGGCAGCCGGGCTGCCCCAAGCAGTCAACTAGAAGCAACCTGGACTAGCCTGATGGCAGCATCAGATAAACAACCACATCAGCATCAGCATAATGCGACAAAGCACAACCAGGATGGTTGCATGCGACGAGACCGAGCGAGAGAGGGGCAGAGTTGCGAGTGCCCCGAGTGCTATTAAAGCGACATCCGATGCAGCACCCAGGCAAACCGTGACGGATATTACAAAGTACAGCAACAACAAGCACAACAACATTGCAATACGAAATATAATTAAGCTGTGCTTTTATTTGACATCGTTGAAAAGCAACGCTCCTTAGGCTCGCCTTTGCCCTTTGAATACTAAGCCTCATAATATTCGAAACGGAACTCATCATTGGGGCTTAAAATTGTATTAAGTTTCTTATTCCCAAAATTACGTGGAGGCTTGGCAACTGGGTCAAATATATCTATGATCAGCCATTAACACATTTTTGTTATATAAACATTACAAAGTGTCGCATGATATGGAATCAAAAAAGAATTCTCAAACTCTATGAGAATATTTGTACATAGTTTGTTAAATAATTATGTTTGTTTTATACAATCTTTTATTTACTATAAATACATTTGAAATCCAAAAATTTGATTTAACTTGAGTTGAATCGGTTTATAATAATGGAATTATGGCGTTTAAGTAGAACCTAATAAGGTGAGATTTCGTATAGGAGATAAACAAACAAAAAGCGGTCAAAGCTATCTGGCAACCTTGTTACCATTGCCCCGATACTATTGAGAGCAGGTAATGGAATCAGTAGCGATGTCAATAAAGTATCGATAACTGATAGGCATCGATGCATTCGGTCATTGCCTGCTTAATGGTTGCAGCTAGCGTATGAGGCGAAATTCAGCATATGTTCAACTTCACTATCAGTAAGCACACAGTTAGCCATTATAATACATAATATATATAATAATAATATTGTATACTCAAGCTTAACTCAATTAATTTTGTATTTATCGCTCTGTATTTTAAAGTATCCCTAGAGAAGTTCCTTGCACTTGGCCTTAATCATATTGAATGTAACGCTGCCCACATTCTGTGCCGCATTGTTGAGCATCTCGAAGATATGATGATTCTCCTGTCCCTCATCGACAGTGCGCTCGTGCAGGCGTCGCAATGCCGCAGTGTATGCCTCATATTTGGCCGCGCTTTCGGTGTCCAGTTTGAAGCTTTCGTAGAGCTGTTGTATGTCATACAGTTGCCGGCTAGTCTCGTCGTACAGCAAGCTGGGCGTCTGCGGCAGCAGCTGCAACCAATGCTCGTGCACCTGCTCCAGAAACTCAAAGTTGCTAAACAGAAAGATAACAAACAGATCCAAGCCTTTGGTCTTCAATTGCTCCATTAGCTGTTCGGTAAAATGTTGCTCGATGTCACCCTGGATCACTTGATCGGGTCTTGGACTAAGATATCGTTCCAGAAATGCATAAATACTCTGCCGCTTGTCAAAGAAGTCCGGTATGGCTAGCATATCGTCCAGCTGTTTCAGCAGTCGCTCCAGCTGTGTAGTCTTCTCCGATAGATCGGCATGCTCGCCATCGAGAATGTCCTGCAGTAATCCTCGCAATATGTGCACATAGCTATCGATAATCTCGGCACCGGAGAGTTTAACACGCTCGTAAAGCTGCTTTCCAAATTGACTCAGATCCAGTCGGGTCTCATTAGTGGCACTCTGCGTGAGATTTAGATGCTCCAGTGCTGCGCCCACAGTTTGATCATTGATCAGGCGATGTACGCTAGTCGGACGAGGTCGCTCGAATTGCTGACAGAGGCGAAGCACTCGCAGCTGACGTATCTCCTGGTTGCTGGCATCTCGGGCAGCGCGCAGCTGCTGCTTGAGGCGACTTATGAACAATAGATTGCGCAGCACACATGTGTGCTCCATGTCCAATTTGATGTGTTGTTGTGCATCCAGCAGCTGCTTAATCAGCAAAACCTTCGGCTGCAGCTTCTGGGAGGTGCGTGCATTGTTCAATTGTTCAGAATAATTGGCATAGATGGCATTCTGCTGCAATTGTTGCAGGTAATCGTTGAGGCTCAGCTCGGCACGCTGCTCGGCAAACTCGGCCAAGGTGTGCAAAAAATCCAGCTGATAGTCCTTGGCGTTTAGCTGGGATTCCACAGAAAGTACTGCAGCTGCACCCACCAGCCACAACAACGGACAGCATAAGAGTAGCGGCAAATTAAACATCTCGCGAATACTTTGGTTTGCCAACTAACTCGGAACTCAGCGTGGGTTAGTTTCAGAGCAGTCGCAATGTAAACAGCTTTTGTAACAGCTGTCTGATTACGATGGGGAGCGGGCGGAGAGCAGGGAAAAGAGGCGGCGGCGGTGTTGTGGTTCAGCGCTGGGTCAGTCGGTTTGTCGATTGCAAGCGACAGCTGCTGCTGAATGAACAGCCTTATCGCTAAGACGACGACTGCAACATAGACTGCATCTACACTGAGCGAAATGCTGTGGTCAGCCACGAACACAGCCGCATTTAACTTTGGCACGCGACTAAGCCAGAAGCCAAAGCCAATTTATGTTAAGTCTCCCAACATTTTTTTGTTTCAGTCAATTGGGCACATTTAAGGTAAGCTAAAGATTTATATTGATTAGCGGCAACTTGAATACTCTTCTTAATCGGAATAATAAAGTAATGTTCAATAGCAAAAAAAAAGGCCAAATTAGAAAAATATATAGGTGCTAGCAGATAAATGTGATTAGATTAGATTAGATTTGTGTATTTGCATATGCTTTAACCTTAATTACTTGTAATCAAAGCAAATGCAGCAACTTTAAGCATATTGATATATTTATTTAAGTAAAATGACTAAAGAGATATTTTGATTGCAGCAAGTGCAAATCTGCATTGAAAAGTCGAAGTCATCCGGACTTAGTAGGGATTCGAGCAGCAACTACTGCTGCAAATGGCTAAAAACCGACTATCATCTAAACATTGGTATACCCATTTACCCTTTACCATGCCCTGCACACTGTGTGCTGTGTGTGTGTGTGTGTTTGTGTGTTTGTATGTGACTCTCTACGTGAGTGCACGTTCTAGGCGGCAATTGTTGACCAAGCACAGTTGCTCTCTGAGTGTATGCTGTGTGTGGGTTTGTGTGTGTGTGTGTCTGTTTGTGTGTGTGTAACTGTGGCCCTCTCGCAAGTTAAATAAAAGTTGCAGACGCTTTTCATTCATTGACAAAACTTCAACGGCATCCTAATTGTGCCATGGCGTGACTAGGGATATACCTGGTTGAACCTGTACGCTTTCTATCCATCTAACTGAGGAGTTGCGAAGCAGATTTCACCGCAACCTGATTGAAATTTGTCAGGTTGATTGAACTCGTTTTTGGGCAGCCCAGTTGATGAGAGTCTGTTTTATTTGAGGATACCTTTTTGCCGCTTTAAATCATTGCCAAATGCCAAACGAGTTTAGTTGCAGCTTAGGTTATTCTTTTATTTCAATTTTCTTCATTTATTTATTGGAAGTTGGCAACGAGCCCATTTTGTTCATTAGCTTTAAATATTTGATCAAAGCAACTAATGGCCAAAGACATACACACACACACACACACACACACAAGAACACAGTACAACCAAGAGAACTAAAAAGTTCTCCACTGTTTCTTACTAGTTGTTGTCCCAATTCGTGTCCTGCAACCGCAAGAATCTTCATTATTGCCAACACCTATCAAGGAGGCAGCCCACAAGTAGGCTCCGACTGGCGCTGGCAGCCGCAACAAACAATGCTGACGGGCGAAAAAAGTGCAAAAAGAAAAAAAAAAAAATAGGAAATAAAAAGATAGAAAAAGTCGCAACGTACAAGTTTTTAGCTAAAGAAATTTTCCAACAATTGCACAATTGGCATGCGCTACGCATGCGGATGAATGGGCTGCTGTTAGAACATAAAGACAGAGTTTGCTCAACAACAAAGCCAAACTGTGTGTCCTGTGCGGGGTTCAAAACAACCAACTTCCTTGGAAGGGGCAGCCGACCTGGTCAGGTCAAAAATTTAAAGGCTTTATTTAAAAGTTACCTTACATTTAATTAATTGAAATGCTTTAAAGGAAACTATGCTTTTAAAAAGTTAAAAAACTCCTTGCAATGATTCAAAATGTATTCCGGAATTACGTAGATTCACGTGCCAAATACTTTATTATTATATTATATTATATTAAGAAATATTCACACATGCACCTATCTATAAAATTCCAAAAGACAAAAGCTCTTTAAAAGTGTATTTATTATTAAATAGTTTGAAAGATTCATTTTAAAATAATTTATAAACTTTTGTCTGACTTTCATTATTGAGAATAAACTAATTGTTTGATTAAGAAGTTAACGAAATGAAACTTTTCGAAATTAGTTAACCCCAACAAAGGGACTAAACCGATATAATACGCGCCCTATTGCCCACATTGTGGAATAAATTTCTACGCTAGTTAGCCTGATTTCGCACATTCGTATAATTCTGATAGTTTCACTACGTAAGTCACAGCACTTTGCCATTTTTCCCCTTTAGCAACAGTGGCAGACATTTTTTACAAAACCGAAACAAAACTTTGTTGCTCTATGGCTGGCAATCATGAGGCAAAGGGACAACGATGTCGACTCGGGGCCATCCATAAAACTTCAGACGAGTAGGAGACATCCTGGTTGGCTGGTGTGAAAAGCGCTAAAAGCGTTTAAATGAATTTAAAACAGCAAAACTTTTGTTTTTCCAACAAAAAGCTGAGAAAAAAAATACAAAAAATTCTCAACTCTTTGGTGAAACATTTCTGCTTTTGTGAGTTTCACATTGTTTTTGCAATGTTGTGATTTTGTTTAAAGTTGTATAAAGTTGACGGTTTTGGGGTCGCTAGTAAGAATCGGATTGAGTGGTATCTTTGTGTGTGGATAGGGTAATTTCCATGCAAATGATAAGCTGACTCTTCGGTTACCACTGCCGGAAGCCAGTGCTAACTTAATTGATATGCTTTGCAAGAAAAACAGACCCAGTGACAGTCACTGAAACTTGAGCTTAGCAAACATTGCAACGTCCCGCCACACCCCTTAACGCCAACGCTCCTTCAGCCGCCATTCTTTATCGCTGGCCCAGTCTACATATTGCTTAGCACAGACACCGTCTCCATGCAGTAACCCAATTCGCAAGTCGCACAAATTGAGATCTATGGGCCATATAAATGCAACGGAAAATCGCAAAAGCCAAAAGACTAACAGCACAAATTGTTGAGTATCGAATTCTGAGACACTCTTTAAAATTAAATTTTAATAATAAAAGTTACAAATATCTTCAAATTGTATTTTATTCTTTGTAGATTCTATTATTAAAAAATAACAACTTTTTTTGTATTTATAGTAATTAAACGCATTTTATGGCAACACTCACATTATTAATTTAATTTCAAATTTACTTACAATTTAAATTCAAATCATCAATTACAAAATACTATCTAGCCTATTTGTAATCTTTGAAATATAATTCCATTTTGTTAATTTATTCTTTATTAACTTGTACAAAGGTAAGTTACAAACTGAGAAAGCAAATGATATGAACTTAAACTTTGCGAGTGTATAGAAAGTTAGTCTTCTCTAAGTTCGCACTCTGTGCTTCCTGTATCTCTGACTCTCTCTCCCTCTCTCTATCATTGTTTCTAGTTGGCGGATAAAGTGATGAGTTGGGAAGCGGCAAATAAACATACCAAAAAAAATAGTCATATATTTTTCTAGTTTAGTTTGCGTTGTCTGCCGCTTCAGCTGATGAAAAGTGCTCTTTAAATTGTATGCAGCATAAAGTATGCTACAAATATAACTGAAGTGTCTAGGGCTATATTTTCTGTTCGGACTGGCCTCGAATGTGTGTCAGGGTTGCTTGCCTATGCCTTTAACATCGTGTCTCTTCCACTTAGGTGGCTCACTGGCTTTGCCACTGGTTTCTGGTTTTTGGCCAAATCCAGGCGGCTGCCAGACTCTTTGGCTGCTGTCGAGAAGCTGCTACGATCCCAAAAATTCAAATGCAAAATCACATACAACCACAAACAGCTCTTATGCGAATGGGATGGGCATGCTGCGGAACGTGTGGCGATAGGGCATAAGTTCAATCAAGCAAATGTAATGCTGCTTCGTCTGCCAATTGCAGGCGAATGTGTATAATACAAAGATCGAAACTCGCATTGACAGTTTGACTGAATGAATGACTGACATGGTAATAGTGTATATGTGTGTGTGTGTGTCTGTATGTGTGTGTTTATCTGGTTGTGAATGTGTCTTGTTCTTGCTGTTGATGCTGTTGATTTTGCTGCTGTCCCGGCAATTATGAATGCAATTGAGATGTTCGAACAGTTGACTATCAAACTACCAAATATCTATTAATTTTCCAAATTTATAGCTAAACTAAAACTGGTGTTAGAATTCTAAAAATCTATTAAACATAAATTGCTTAAAATAATTGATTAAGTGTTAAAATTGTTGACTTGTTGTACATTTAATCAATTTTAACTAATTTCCATAGACTAACTGTTGAATATTTAAAAACTACATTTTATAAAAATTCTAAGGCAGTTTTCTACTACTTCAACTTCTACGTCTGGACAATACCAATTTCTCAAAAAGTATTTTATTAAAAACAACAATGAGTGCTGAATAAAGCTACTTATTTGCTTAGCCCTCGAACATATATCTACGTATCTGCTCAAACAACTAAACACACACTCACACACACGAACATACACACACAACACACATTAAAGTACGCACACGCATGTGTATTTTATGCACTTAAGTGTAAGCAAAGCAAGTCAGGAATGGAACCTACTCAGGCGGAAATGCGCATAACTGCATCACATCCACGACACAAAGATACACACACACACATGCACACACACACATGCACACACACACACACACACACACACACACACACACACACAGAAGTACACACAGAAATACGCTCAGAGCTTAAGTAACCGTTCGGTCATCGGCAATGGCAATGGAAGCGTCCATTGCCTTTACTTTTGCCTTAGTTCTCCTCTATCAAATGCTAAGTGCTGCTTTATTAACCAGGAGACAACAAGGACAACGACCACGATGGCGACTCACCATCGAGTGCTTTGATGTTGCACGTTGGCGACAAACAACAAACGACTAAACTAGTAAAAATAAAACACAGCCAAACAGCAGGGTCAGCAGCTAAAGTCACCAACGGAACTTGAGATTGTCCCAGAACATTCAAGCTGCTGCCTCAATTATGCACTTTATCTGCTGCTGCTGCTGCTGCTGCTGCAGCTACTGCGTCCAATTGAATTATAACTAGATCGGAATTACA